CAGAAGTTCGCCGACCGAAACTCGTTTGCACGCTGCGAGCATACATATTTTCCTAGGCGATTGCATGTTCAACGGCGACATCGATGGAAATCCACCTAAAGGCGAATCGCAAACTTCGACGTTCTGTATGTTTTAAACAAGTTCGAAACCAGCAAAACGATTACATATCCCTAATTTCGCGTGAACTGTAACACGTATTTTCATTAAAACCTCTAAATAAATCTCTAGTTCATTGATTCTCTTTTGGCGACGCTAATAGTACAGAAAAGCATTTTCTGGCCAAGAAATATTTTTCTATTTTAAAAATAACACGTGTCCTCAAGCTTATGAAACATATATAGTTTTGCAACAAATTTAAAAATTATAGAACTTATTCTGAACTTGATGAGATCGAGGAGTGTGTATAGAGGAGTAAGTGATCGATCGAGTGCTTGTGAGAGAGCGTAGCCCTCTGTTGATAAGTGTGGGAAGTATCGTCATAGATGTACATTCCAATCCTCGCTGAGGCTAACTATTAAAATCGATTGAATTTTACTGAGACGTGAATGATTGTTAACATTCTCAAAAGCCCACGTACATATATTTCAGATCTCCAACTCGATATAACCAGTCCTAAAAATTCAAATTCTATTCCAACTAGCTCATGTAAACTAGATTTCATGAAAAGAGGCCCCAAATCGGTAGGTCAAAGATGGACGACTCAACCAGGCAAGTTACAAAACTATTAGGCCAATTTTGTATACTATGTGCCATTTTATTTTACAATCTTTTGGTTAATTTAAATATGTTTTCGTAATAAAATTCATCACTTTATTTATTGAAAAATCCAAAGACAAGACAAGGTCTGGTGAATACAATGGTTGGGGTGGTTAATTTAACTGCAATAATTTCAGTCTCATCTTTAAACATGGCGCCATTTCTTTTCAAAATATGAGTGATGACTGTTTTTTCTATACTTTTACAGTATTTTTCGCTATTAATCGTCTGATTATGCAGTAAGAGGATATAATAAAGTATTAAAATATGGGGAACGAATTTGTTACGTAACTTAATAAAACCCGTTTTCCGAAATTCGATGGACGCGTCTCAACAATGTAACCAGTCGCCCAATAATTTTCAGAAATCAGGTTCGAAAGGTTAAGCACGGGGTCCGGATTGGTGCTCGCGAGGCATGACGCGACATGACAGCCTCTTTGTGCACGAGTTTATGAAGATGTCGCCGGAACGAGACCGCCGCTACGGGGACGTGCAAAGCGTTTACAAAACGCTTACGCTGTACACATCGACGCCGTCCGGCCGGATGCATTATCTGATGGCACCGACATACGTCTTCGCTGTCAGCCGATCGTTAAGGGAACAATCAGACACGCCGGAGACGGATCGACCGCCAAGGACCCACCCCGATCTCCCCACGCCCCTCCGTCTTCTCTTTTTATTCTATACTATTTTTATTCTGCTCTCGAGGATCCACGACTATGGTGCCTGTTCTCCACTTTGGATCGTTCGAAGGATACAGTTGCTGTCGACAGTCTGATCACGAGTTACGCTAGGGGAGGATATTCGAATTTATAGGACCGAACATTCATAAAAAAGCTTTCACCAGCTGAAATCACAGAACTGTTTTACCGATTCACACAGTGTTTCTACGCGTACACGCAAGAGGGTGTATGTCGACAGCGAAGAATAGTGGGAGAAATCTCTATGGTGACCTCGTGCGACCAATTGATTTTATCCGAACTAGTAAGCGTTGATGTCTGCGACAGGGGCTTGAACTTGCATCGCAAAAGTGACTTCCGTCGCTTTTGTGACAGTGTCTATTCCGCGTCATTTTGAAGCATTGAAGCTATTTGAGTTATAACCTTCATACGAAGGTCACAAACATGGCGTACCCCGTGTCATCACTACTAGGGGGTTATGGATTTGGAATAAATAGCTCTTTTATCACTATTCAAGCTACCACATAATTGTTCGACTTTAATTTATAAGTATTTTAAAAAGTGTCGAGTATCTACGCCTAATATTTGACATACACCAAAATGGACCACTCTACTATCATTCTGCATAAGCACGTTAAAATCGAAGTTAATCAATTCGTATTCCCTTGATAGAATTTCCTTGCCTGAGCTCTAGACTTTCTTGATATTGTAATACTTTATAATTGGCAGTAGGAGGACTGGAATACCCATCCATGTAACCGAAGGTAGTTATTGAACAGACATGTAACGTCCTTGACCGGCGGGAAAGCGACCCTGCTCGACCAATATTTTTCAATCTTGATAAGCGCAGTTATTCCGAGACCAATAACTCCCTGGCCGTAGTGCGCCATAGGGTGGAACACGTTCATGGCCTGCGGGGCCAAGAAGGTTATAAGGCTCTAGTATTGGGTACTCCATCAAGCGTTATTCAATGCTAATGAAAACTATCTGCATCTTGTGACAGTCGTCAATTCTTTTTCTTTCGCCTGGTAGACAAAGACAACTTGACTGTAAATTTAACCTACCACCCCCCTCTATAACAAACACTAGGTGGACTCGAGAGTCTATCTCTCAATAGTCCTGTCTGTCCGACCAAGATTCTTAAGGAGGTTAATATTTGCACCGCGTTATTTACACTTAAACTTTGCAGCAATTACGTAATACGTCGTGCTTCCTGCGCTCGAACGATAATTAGTCACGCTACGATCGTTGGCTTTAACGCGAAACTCTGTTATGCTTGTTAAAGAATCGTAAAGGCATCTCGAAGGCGTGTTAATGGAACAACAACTCACTTTGTGCAACATAACCTAATTCCTAACGCCTTGGGAAAGTGTTTGTTTTATATTTGTAATTTCCATAGCGTTCGTATATAGTTATTGGTACGGTGGACGAACTTGCATGGTCGGAGATAGTCTACCGAACCGTGGATTCGATTACTATTCGAGACCAGCAGGTGTTTCCTTTATTACGTGACAATATTGCGAACGCTTCTTGCGGGCAATAAAGCGCCTTAAGATCCCCGCCAGATGTCGCCGTGGGTGGCAGCGGCATATACGAGACCGAAATCTCAAATATTAGCGGATTCTCTTGCGCGGATAGAGAGGATGGGCACCTCCATGCTCTAATATCGTGGTTTTTTCCGCCCTACGGTGCTGCACGCCGCAACACGTGCGCCAAACGGCTTATAAAACTTCCGTGGAGCAAGGACATTGCGAATTGCGTCGTATCATCCCTATCGCGGACCGAAGAGATCACGTACAGTGATCTGGAAAGGGGAGAATACAAGGGAGGTCGATGTCAACCCCCTCCTTTTCAGATGAAAAACTTCCAGTTGACTAAATAATTTTTACCTCGCTTTATATGCACGTCAATTTTTTTGTTTTGATGGAATCTTGGTTTCGTATTGTTGTAGTTCTATGGATTAGTGGAGAACAATCTTGGTGCTAGTTGTATTATTTATGTTTAGGAGTAAGAGTAGTTTCAATATTGTATTGTATTCATTGAATAAATAGAAATCTTAGGCACATAAACTAAATCCATAGATCCTGGAACACAAATGTACTCATGTAATTGCAATAAGAACTTGCAAGATCGAATATAGCAGAGTTTAAATTCAACAACTAGTAATTATTACAGGTACAACATTCTTAATTTAGTATTTCAATTCATCAAATTAATTTATTTGTAATAGCTTCCGCCTCAACGGCAAAATGTCTAAGTTTGTCAAGAAATAGTTTTTATTGCTGTAGCTAGAAGAAACTGTCAACTTCTGAATTCTGTCACTGTAACACGTATATTTATACTTTTCTTTGTGCATAAACATAGTTTCACATTGCCTTAAGCTTACTCTACATTTACTTGAGCTTATGTACGTCGGTTTATTTAATAAACATAGTACAAAGCTTATTTTAATAATAAAAAAGAATGCACTATACATAGTATGAACGAATGCACCGCCATCTACGGCAAAATGCCCAAGTTTATCGAAAAATAGTTCGTTTCCTTCACCGCTAAATGCAGCGCCATTTGTTTACGATCGAAAAATATTTCAATTCTTATAATTAATATAAAATCACACTTTCATCAATTTAATTTATTTATAAAGTTTCATTATCAATGGCAGAATGCCTGACTTTGACAAGAAATGATTTATATTGTTGTAATTGTAAGACGCGTTTAACTTCTGAATTCCGACACTGTAACATATATGTTTCTACTTTTTAAACTACATTTACTTCAAATTATATACGGCCGTTTATTTAATAATCATATTCCAAAGCTCATTTTAATAATATCCCAGGGGTGGTATACGTATACCTGGTTTAGTGGTTTGCACTCCAGTCTGGAATATTGCGAAGGGGCCATCTAGTGCTAAGGAAAATGACGATGAGAAGGTTTCTCGACAAACTTGGGCGTTTCGTCGTAAATGGCGGTGCATTCGTTCATATTATGTATAGTGCATTCTTTTTTTATTATTAAAATAAGCTTTAGATTATGTTTATTAAACAAACCGACGTATATAAGTTCAAGTAAATGTTGATTAAGCTTTACCCAATATGAAATTATGTTCATGTACGAAGTCAAATAGAAATATATAGTCAGATTGGGCCACGTAAGTCCATAAGGTGTAAAGTCTACTCGTATACCTTGTCTATGGTTACAGTGCCGAATTCAGAAGTTGACCGTGTTTTGTAATTACAGCAATATAAAGTGTTTGTTGACAAAGTCTGGCATTTTCTTATTGTTGGCGAAGCTTTGTAAATAAATTAAATTGATGATAGTGTAATCTTATATTGACTAGAAGAGTTGAAAATATTTTTCGATCGTAAATAATTGGCGCTCCATCTAGCGACGAAGAACATGAACTATTTCTCGACAAACTTGAGCGCTTTGCCATAGATGGTGTTGAAATCTCTCATAAAAAAGAATTGTTTATTATTAAAAAAAAGTTTTAGACTAAGTTTATTAAACAAATGTAGATTAAGCTTAATGCTATGTGGAACTACAGATTGAAATTAAATTCTGTAAAGGTACAGACGCATGGTACAAAGCGCGCCGAATAGATTCCTCTCACCATGAGAGTCTCATGGTGACATCTGTCAAAACCGGAAGTGAAGCTTACGAGTGCATTGCCGTCCTTTTAACCGTTTTCCTATTTCTACCAACGTCCAGTTAATCTCTTTCGTCGAGTAAAGATTAAATATGTCTGTGGATCCTAACCTGTCACGACAGTTCTTGCACGCCTGTCAAACCGGAAACCTACCTAGAGTGGAAACCATTGTGTCAAAGTACGCCATTCAAGATTGGACAGTCTTCCAGCATTTCACTTCTGGCGACACTGCGCTGCACGTTTCCGTTCGAGAGGGTCATTTAAATATCGTTCGATATTTATGCGAAGCCTTCGTTAAACCAGACTTCAAAGTCGACGTTGCCAATAAAGATATGAAACGTCCCTTGCACGAGGCAGCGCAATTTGCACGCAGCAATGTCGTTAAATATTTAATTGCAAAAGGTGTCCATTTAAGAATCAAATAAATTTCGATGCCAATGTACGATTTATAAAATTACACTCTGCTTAAAGGCGCAGCTGTAAATGCTTTGAAGCGCGCCGACTGGACTCCCTTGATGTTGGCGTGTGTCAGAACCGGAAGTGAAGCTCGCGAGTGCATCGCTGCCCTCTTGGAAGCGGAAGCGGACGTATTTCTTCGAAACAAAGACGGTTGGACGTCTCTGCACATCGTTTGTCGTTCTGGTGATCGAAGTGCACTCAATTTATTATTAAAATCGTCGAACGAATCTATTTCTCGTATCGGAGATCGTAGCAACAACGGTCGTAGCGTCATGCATATTGCTGGTACTAATTTTTGTGACACTTTCATCATAGTTTGTTCTTAGGGAGAAAGAAAAAAGCTCATAACTTCGAATAATGTTAATAAGATAAGCAGAAAAAAGAGGCGAAGCAATTATCCTGTTACGCATTAAATGAAAATATAAATTTCAGTTACGGAATTAAATATTTCATAAAGAATTTAATATGTGACTGAAAATTAAGTCTTAGTTGGATCAGGGTTAAGCTACTCACATCTTACAGAGATTCGTTCTCCCTAATTTTAACTCTTCTTTCATTTCTAATTATTAACCACAGTCGCCATGTTAAAACGATCAATGCATTACAAAATTTAAATGATACAGCTTTCCATGGTCACGAGGGCATAATCGAAGAACTCGCTACGATAGACCCGAATTTAGCGAACGCCCGAGATTCTTCGGGACATACTCCTCTTCACGAAGCGATAAAAGGAGGCCATCTTGCCGTGGCGGAACGTATCATCGAATTGAGGGCTGACGTACGAGCGACAGACAACGTTGGTCAAACAATATTACACGTAGCAGCTTTGACCGGAAACACCGATGCAGTTCGATACATTTTAAAAAACAATTTAATCGATATTCATACCGAAGCATTGTTTAACGTGACACCATTGGTCGCAGCTCGAAGGAGCAACCATACAGACACCATCGACTGTTTGACGGAGTTTGGAGCTATAAAATAAAATAAAATGTTTGGTTCTTTTTATATACAAGGCGTTTTTTTATCAGGGAGAAGTGGAAAATGTGTTGTTACTTATTATTCTCCATAATCAAGTATTTTGTTCTATTCTATAACGTTTTTATATCTATATTCTAGGGGGTGATAGGGTTAAATATATTGTTCTTTGAAATAAAATATCTTTTGCTTCGCTATAGTGACCAAAGACGCGCTACAATTACATGGGACACATTAAAAATGAATATTCCACAGATCTGTGGAGCCACGGTTGTAACCAAACAATATGGTGGCAACAGAGTCTCAATTAATTTGAACCCTTGGAGCAATAGGTATCTTGCTCTAGCAACGATCTAATTTCTATCAGAGATATTCGAACAATCGATTTAGAGAGACAAAGACGAGTCACCTTTTATTCAGAGATTGGTACACATTTATTTATCCTTTTTTTCCTGTATCAGACAGTCTTAAAGAAGCATACAAAAATGAAGAAACGGAGGCTCTTAGTAGATCGGAGATACCTAGATTTTACAATTCTTCTTGTTCAATATTTTTCTTCTTCGTCCTCTTCGTCTTCCGCTGTTGTGCTCTTCGGTCTTCCCCTTCTTTTCGCTTTTGTTCGGTCAACGTGCGCAGGCAGGCGATGGATTCACGGGAAAAAACTTACGGTTTCGCGTTCTTGGAACGTGTCCGCGTTACGGTTACCATTGAGTATATCACTTACGAAGAGAACATAAACGGTAAAGATCACAGAATTTTCACGAATTCTATAGATCGCTGCCGCTGCGTTTTCGTGTCTTTGGGTAAAACGGTTTAGAAAAAAGCCGATTCGAAAAATATTCCGACACTTTCAAGAGGTTGATGAGCTGGTGGATCCGGAGGGCGTGGGTGGTTACTGGACTGAGAGACAGGGTTGGTTTGGCGTTGGTCTGTGTGTGTGTTTCTGTTCTCGCGGATCGACTCTCTGCGATCGATTCGACATCCATTCTCTGCTCCGATGCTATCTTCTTTTTTCTGCGCGGGAACGGAAGCTTATGGCTCGCTAAGTATTAAATGTAACGTTTGTTGCAGGCGGGGGACGAACAGGGTAGGGGGAAAAGTAAGGAGAAGGTACAGTAGGTACGATCGAAAGAAACGTATCTCGAGATTGGACAGGTGTGTTCGATCAGAGAGAAGATCAACGCCTGTTTCGTGAAAGAGAATTTAGGATAGAGAGATAGAGGAGTACGTGTGTTTGTGTGTATCTGAGGGATTGAGCTGAGACAGGGAGGGAGAAGGATATTTATATTTATAAAACGGCTAAGGATAAAACATGCACTGTATATCTGTCCATCTGATTAATTGTTGCACATTTTCATCTTATTCTCCTTCCGTCATCACGCATGTTTACAGTCGCTTGTTCGATCATTTTCCCCTAACGTTTTTCTCGTAACGGTATCCTAACGCACGGACGAGTGCTCGAGTTTCTGTTCTTGTTATCTCGTCGAACCTACGGTTCATTCCTTTTCCTTTTGTGCTCTTAATGTCTCTTTAGTGGAGTCGTTATAAATATCCAATGATTACTTGGGCTTTTCATTTAATATTTTACTTCCTCGCTTAATTTATGTACACATTAACTAGTTACGTTTGGGACTTAAGTTAACCGCCTCACGCATACCGCCGTCACGATTAATAGTCACTGTAATATTCACTACTTACTAGTAACTTGTCTTATCTAGTGTATTTTTTCTTCTGTTCACATTAATCGTTTGGGTCGCCTCCCAACCTCTTGCCTCGTCACGTCTCATGCACACGCAACACTCTCTCTTCGCACCCTTTCGCACTTACGCGCTTTCTCTTCCACACTCTGTCCTTATTCTTTCTTTCCGCGCGTTTTTCCATTTACAATTACAAGTGTTCAACATGTACAAAGCCCTATTTACATTATGTACACCTTGCTTCGAGAGTTTCCCGACGATAAACGCTCCTAACCCCAGCTTTCACACGCGACAAACCTTCGAGAGGCGTGACAATACCAATGTGTGTGTGTGTGTGTGTGTACGTGTTTGTGTGTTTTTATGTGCTCTTTCTTCTTTTTTTTTCCTTCAGTGGCCCGCCGGTTGCGCCGTTATCGATGCAAACGAAAAGGGAATAAAACATACCACGACGATACACATAATCGTAAATCGGTTTGCCCCTATATTCACCAGGCACAGTGTGCTCGAAGTTTGTCCCCCGTCTACTTGGCTCGTACACCTTTTCTTTCAAATAACCCTCTTATCTCTTTCTGATCACGATAAGTCGAACGGATGGAATGTGGCTGCGTTTTACGATTCTATCTGGCAGTAGTCGTTTCGGTGGGCAAGACCATTCGCAAAAAAAAATATTATAGAACTGGCTGGCTGTGAGGAAACTGGTCGTTGAAAAATTTGCGTCCAGTGATTCGCGTTCACTCGAGCGCGCGTCGAACAATTGAAAATCTTAAACAGTTAAAGAGAGATCGTCTCGTCGCGCGCCATGACGCATGTTGCGCCCGCGAGCAACGCACGGAGGACTTCCGGAGCCATCGAGCCAACCGTGTCCACTTCAGAACGGAAAATCCGAGTCTCTCGAGCTCCACCAATTAATTAATTTGCGTCTCTGGACATGACACGTTGACCGTCATGACAGGTTTCCTTTCGGAATGTTCTGAATGTTATTTTAATTGTCAATCTACCTTTGCCAATCGACTGGATGTCAACGGAAATTAATTCGAATACTAAGCAATAATAAAGATTGTAAAATTGATAAACTGGTCACCAGGGGACCAACATGGCGGTCAACGCGCTTTTGCAAGTATCCGTAACGCGACTCAGCGGCTCTAATTGACTCGAAAAATGCCTCGCGAGTCGCTTTGAACGAGAACGAAGGAATGTACAAGTGTAACGAAGATTGTTGCAACGTGGATTTGTAAATAGGGCGTTTCGAGGACTTCCGTGGCGATGGCGCGCGACGATCGAGTAAAAATTACGGTAGTTACGGACACGGAATCGAGAATTTTTCGAGGTTCGAAGAAGGATGGACGCTCGTTCCGCCTCGACACCGTGGACAAAGACGGCTCGCCAGATTGTTCTCGATCACGCTAAACGCTTGTGCGAAGGGCCTATTGGAACCAAGATACCGTGAACGGGTTTCTCGCGATGCCAGAATGAGCAAAATTACGTTTCGCGCGCAATAATCGGAGGAAACGTTTCGTACGCTAAATATAGGTGGTACCCTTAACGCTGATTATCGCTATTTTTTATAATTCGCCTATAGACTTAGTCGCCTTAATGTACGATTTGCCGGGGAGAAGGATCACGGCCGGCCCGGCTGAGCAGAGAAATAAATTAAAACGATGTGTAAACGTTGTTGCACCGCGGAGAAAGAGTATGTTGAGTTCGTTTGCGCGCTTGGATATTTGCCACAAAAACGAGAACACGTAGTTCTGACAGGGATCATAGACGCAACGATTTGTTACAACGAGAACGGGCGAACAACGAAACCAAACTATAGATTCTTAAACCGACTAATTTACGAACGAATCTGAAATTTTTGTTCGTCATTCGAAAGTAAAATTTGCCCGACTCTGACGATTAGTGGTTCGTCGATTGCAGCATCAAGGTTGTGCAAATTATTCTAAAATAATCGTGTCTATGGCTTCTATATGAAGAACTTTAAACGATCAAGATCCAGGAAAGAGATTTTGTTCGTGAAAACTAGTCGATCCAACATATCTCTTTCCCCCAGTCACATCGGTCCGGGAAGAATACCAAGAGCTGGAGCTCTGCGTCCGTCCGCGGATTACGGTTCTTCCACTCGTCGACGAAGGGTCATCTTTGCAAGCATAAAATTTTCGCCATCCTGAACCGGACGATCCAGGGAGAACGGATCGATCGAACGTCAGCGAAAACGATCGCGAGATTCCCGATCGTCCGTACCACGAAGAAAAAAAAAGATAATAAACACGATCGCTAATTATACATTAGATAACACTCACGGATGATAAAAAATAAATAGCGCGCGGGTTCCCTTAGTTACACATTAGATTACGCGGTTACGACATATACCTTTTTGTTTTTTAAAAAATAGTAAAAAACAGTGACTAAGTTTTCTTCGCTTTTTCCAACGTCGCTCGGAAAATCGCTTTGTATCACTATGTATATATGTATATATATATATATATATACCCGCTCGTTTGCAGCTCTTTCTGCACACACTTTCTTCTTTTCGAGTTTTATGTATATATATATACATATAATATCGTTACTGTATACATACATATACATTTATATATATATATATATATCATTTTTTTTTTTATTTATAAAAATAACATTCTGGGACTAAAACGTAACCAAAGCAATGTACAATGAGGAGCTGGCTGGGACGACCGATAAAGGTACTCTAGCCGTTTGCCCTGCGTTATTCGTTTCCGTTTCTAGACGTTTTCCTGTCCATTTTTCTTCGCCCGACGAGACTCGCGGAATGGGCACGTTCCTTTCTTTGCGTCGGAACTCGAGGATTTATTCCGCGAATGCGACGACATCGCCGCCATTTTCGGTAGATCGCGAATGTTCGTCTCGAGGAGCAACCATCTACGGATGCGACCACTAAAAATACAATTGCGATACTGCGATTAATTAAACGTTACTCGGCATTCTTTCCCGCTGCGAGGGCCAGCAACTCGCGATATGTCACTAACGCTGTCACCGCGTCACGACCGACGGTCGAGACCGTTTTTAAAAGCAGAAGCAAGCTTCGGGATCCCTTTATCGCGTCGTCGCCGATTCCCATCGGGGATCAAGATCGGAGCCTTCGTCGATCCCCGCGGCCCGTCAACGAAGAAACACGACTTCCTTGCGCCCGTCGATGAAACCATTCTCCACCCACGTCGATATGTCTGCTGATCAGTGCTTCATCACTGAACCACGGTTCCACGACCGTCGAGTTATCGTTCTTTTTCGCTATGTCGGCGAACGCTACGCCTCGTTCTCGTTAACTAACAAAGACCAGGGCCAGGCAACGAAGGTTCCTCGATCGTTACGCCCACGAGGATCGGTTTCGAGGAGTTCCGTTTACCAGAAAACGCGTTGCTTCGTGGATCTAGCAATTTACACGGCGGTGGCTGGCGACTTGAGAACGCTTCGCAATTTACGGAACGAACGTGATCGACGTTTCGTAGATGAAATTTTTTGCTAAACGAGTGGTACACACTGAGAAGCATGTAAAATGATACCCAATTAGTACAATTTACTTTTAGCTTATACAAGTATTTTTAACATTTTGTTATATCGTGTCGTAACCGGGGACAATAACCTAAGACCGCTCGGTTAACTACCAAATGCAAAGCATTTATGTCGACACTGTTGTTGTTAGTATGGACGAAGGAATATTACTTTTGAGCAATGAGATCAGACGAAAGAATTGACGAGGGATATTGATATTTGGCTAAACAACTGAATATTTTTAAAACAGTGTGTGTCTCAAGGTATGCAATTTATTTTTAACACCGGTTCGATCGATAACATGTCAAAAGGAAAGTGACTTTACAAAACAACTGTTGGAGGAGCTCGAATTCTTCGTTGAATTTCCGAAGCTTATCGTTACAAAATAATTAAACAATTTCGCAACGAGGCGGCGATCTAAAATTAGTATTCGGAACATCGAGAGGTTTGAACGTGATAGATCGCGTTGCAAATAGGAGCTTACTACCAAACGCAGTAGAAAATTACATCTAAAATTCATTAAAAGTCATCGTTAATGATTTTCAGTAGATTCAATAATTCTAAAATTACTAAATTAGGTTTCTCATAGTAGAAACCTATGTTTGACGATGTTTTAAACGAAGAAAGATCTTCAAAATGTGTAAAGTCAACTGTGAGAGAGGTCCAGAAAGATTTATAAACATTTAAGGTGTAATGACACTACAAAATCTTGGTCTTATTCATGGGATTAACCCTAGAACATCAACGTATCGCATCCAACGATAATATTTGTGTTTACCATTTTCTTTATAGTGTAGTTTTTAATTTGTTTAAAATATTTGTAGTCTGTAAGGCTCGAGGAAAAATCCAAGCCGTTCTATGTTAAAATGCGTAATGTTTTACGAAGGTGATATCAATTTGAAGAGACATTGGGTGTATATACATGTATTTCCTACGTTGAAGTTGGTGTTGTAGGATTAATATATACGAATATACATATATTCTGTTTGTATTTACAAGTAATCGAGAGAATCGAATTCTACAAGCCGATAGTAACTTTTAACGTACGAATTCAAGGTTAAATAATTTTTAAGTGAGCGAGATCAAGGACTTTCCATTGCGTCTTCCCGAGATTTCAATCCTGTATTGACGTTACACATTGATACATATAATAAACATAGGGAAGTCAGACGTTTAAACGAACTCTATTCTATTACTAAAGATGAATAGAATAATACTCTAGTTGAGCTTTGCCGCGATTTAATTGACTCGATTCCACGTCGCGAGGAAGTAATTCGTCATAATGTCGGAGCAACGCATTGCTAACACTCTAACTTTCATTTTATCTGACTCAAGTCTTTATTTATTTTATTCGTTTAATCCGTACTAATAATATTAACTCGATTTGGTCTTAAGTAGTTGTCCGCCATTAGGATGATAATATATAACAAGGTGCTAAAAATATTTGAATTTTAAAAACTGACAATAATGTTATATTACTACTATATTACACAATACTCAACGTATGCAGGTTGTGCTGAAATCGATGGTCCAAAATTCGGGCACGCACGGTACTCGTCGAAGTAAGCGAAAAAGTGTTAAGAAATATGAGTCTAGAGGCCAATACTTTCCGAATTATAAAGATAATTTTTATTTATAGCAGTTATGTCGATGAACACCTCAACAGATTTATCGAGGTTTGCACATGCTCAAGAATCCGTATAATACTCATCAAAAGAAGCAAAAAACTCTTAATAAACATTGATCTAGAATTCAATAGTTTCCGAGTTACAAGGCATGTATTATAAGGCAGTTATCTCGAGTGTCCTCTTCGATAACCATTATGTCAGTTTCTCTGGTCGAGAAACGAGGGAAAATCCTAGAATTCTTCGGGCATATGCGAACTACAACAGAGTAGTACGAAATACAATTTCCCCTTAAAACTCCAAAATCATTGACTTCCAGGCCTCCAGTCTCCTAACGTTTTCTCGCCTACTTCGATGACTACTATATCTACCCAACATCTGCACCATAATTTTCGTCACTGTACAGCTAGCAAGTTCGCGAAGATTCGAATTCACGATCCGCGAGTCACGTTCGTCCCTTGAACTACTCCACGCCCCCAATCGCCGGTTGACCGCCGGAAACCGATTTCGGCGACTCAAGAGGACTCGTCACGTTTAGTCGTTTGCCGCGGTGAGCATCGACGTTACAACGACGACTTACTCTAAACAAGAGGTCCGCTATTTTTGTTAGTCCTATCGATACAGAATTCGATCGCGCACTCGCGCGGTCGACCCGCGACGGGACACGCATCCGTCGCGGTCTTCGGTTCACCGCGGAAGAAACAGCGAACAGAAACGAAGTCAAAGGTGGGCCGCAGTTTGATCGTTATGGCTGGAAACACGGTGTCCTCGTTTGCGTTTTGAGAGAGCGGGCTGGCTGCTCCCCGGTGTCAGGGCTGGTCCGTAGGAGCTGGGACCGGTCTGTATTCACGGCAAGGACTCCTCGATCGACGTCAACGACGGCGAGGAGCGTGTCGGTCGTCCGCGCGCGGGAAGACGAAGACGACGGGATCCTGCCGCGGCTGACGCGTCCTAACACTCGCTGTAGGATGGCGGCGGCATCCCGCGGCCGGTGTACATATCCGTCTGCGGCTGGAGGTGACAGACGACGGTGTGCCCGTCCAGGACCGCGACCGTTCGCGTGTGATCCTGTTGAGGCGGTATACCGTAGCTCGCCGGAAGACGCGGCAGCTCGCCGCGCTCGTACCTGGCCTGCTGCTTGCGCATCTTCTCCCAGCAGGCGTTCAGAGTGCGCTCGACCGCGGGGCTGTACTCCGATGGGTCGTAGTGGATGTTCCCGCGGTCCGTCGGCGTCTGTCCGTAGTGCACCAGGTTCCGGTCGGTGGCGGGCGAGTACGGTATCAGCGGCCTGTGATCCCCGTAACTCCTCGACGACTGTCTGCTCATGTCGCTCTGTCTCCTACCGTCCTCGTCCGACATGTCCGACACCTGGATTTCGCCGCCACCGCCGCCCCCGCGCTCGATCTCCTCGTAAACCGGATCGTCCTCGTTCGCCAGGCCCCGCGGAAGGTGCACGTGCTGACCGTGGTGGCCGTGCAGCTGATGGTGCACAGGCCCGTTCGCGCGACCGTCGATGATCTCCGTGTACGTGTGGTTGTACGGCATCGCCGCGCGTCTGCCGCCCCCGCCGCCGGTTGTCCTGTTGCCGCTGATGTCGTTCGTCTCGTTCATGCCTCGCGCGCCGCGGTTCCGTCCCGAATGGCCCAGCGTTAGGGTGTTGTGCGTCCTCGGCGAGTCCTCCTGCTCGGAGCCGCCGTGCCCAGAGTCGCGGGAGTACGATTTAAAAGAAATGTTCTGCGGGAAAGACAGATTTGTTCAGACATCGCGGGACTTCCGGTTGTGGTAAGTCTGGGGAACGGGGAGATGATGCGACTTGGTATCTCGGAGAAAGCTGCAACGACGCGGACGACGATCTTTGCGACTTCTTTGTTACTGATACTTTTCTAGGTCTTCCTTCCTAGTTTTGTGTCTTTTTAATGTAAACAAGGGGGGTACACATAGAATTTAAGACAGTGCTAAGCAAAGAAATTATAATACAGGGTGGCCCACGCAACTAGTGCAGCTTTATAGCTTCCAAAATATGAGTTGCACAAGAAAATTTTGTATACAAAAATTGCATGGTTTAAAGTGAGTTTATTTTTTTAAAGTTGGAGGCGTTTCGAAGATTTGAATTATTACTATATTTTTATTTCAAAATATGGAATACTATCGAATTCTGAGTAAGATGATATTGACCTTTGTTAGCCCTAATCCCAATAACTAACAAGTAATTTCATTTCGAATTCTTGACAGTTTTCTTCACGTAATATCAAATAATGAGTAATAATAACTAATGACTAATTTCACTTTATTTCTTGATATTTTTCACTGTTCTACAGAAATCTATCATAAGGTTAAGTCTCCAATTTGATATTACGCGAAGAAAATTGTCAAGAAATGGAGTGAAATTACTCGTTAGGTATTAGGTTTAGGTCTAATAAAGGTCAATACTTTTATACTCAGAATTCAATATTCTTCCATATTTTAATATAAAACATATAGCACTCTATTTAAATAGAGCTTTGGAAATTACGAACGTGGTACAGTAATGATTCTTAAAATGAACACGTGTTTCGTAAGTTGAACATTTCTGTCCCTCCCAACTGGAAGGATTCTCCTTGAAGGCAGCGACGCCTCCACTGTACGAAAAATGAACATACCAACCCCTGAGCGATGTTCATTTTATGAATCATCACTGTATTTATGATTCTAATAAAGGATAAAATTCCAAAAGAGATGAAAACTTAATGGGTGTATTATCCTACTAGAAATCAAAGGGTTAAAGTGGAGAATATATTGTCGCATCAACTGTTTGGTTATTAGCGACTAGACTATTTTAGACAAAAGTTTGTATTCTTTTATGAACTTGCTTGTACCACTGAATATTTCTATTTGTAAGTAAATTGTATATCGTTGATTGTAACATTACATAGAAGTGCAAGGTCTTCGTCCGCCCGTCGTGCATGGGTCGAAAAGGGAGAGCAGCGCCGAGGATTATCCTCGGTGAGCTCGAGAACGTATCACAAAATCCATGAGCTCGCATGCATGGGTCGACGAAACGAGTGAGAAAATTCCGTACGTGCTGTATGATATGTACAAACGCTATTTGGTCATCGACACTTTATAATCCCATTCTGTTTTCTACTGAACGTAAAAGTAAAACACACACAGACCGATCTACGCGTCCCGCATAAAGAAAACACGTCTACCCTTAAGGAAATGAACTCGGCGTTGTAGTTTAGTGTAGAACTCGGGAACAAAATTCTACGTCGTTGCGATCGACACCGTGCCAACGCCTCTGTAAAACTCCATCAACGAAACATGCAGAATGGAAAAGAAAATTGTTGAAATTTTAAAGTCATCCTCGATAAACTCGAAACGAAGTTTAAAAACAATTGCACGCTTTCTAAATCATTTTTTAGGAAACATATAACTCTTCGGAGATTTAAATTCTTTGCAAATAAGTATCTCTCATGCTTTCGTCGTTGAACACTGACGTTCACCGATGTCGATTGAAACGAACGACCTCGTTGTAGGCGAGAACGGAAAAAAGGGGCACGTATTTCATCCGGGGGGCATTTTTCCCCACACCTCCATGCTTCCTCGGATCGGTCGGGTCCCGTTGAACCCTCGTGAGGTGTTTCTCTAAGTGTGCAAAATGTGTTTCTAGGTGCTTGTGAAGACGAACAGTGAGAACGGAAACAGAAAAACAAAAAAATGGCACACCATGCAAATCGATAGAAAAAGAAACAGTGACAGAACGATAGTTGAGAGAGAAAGATAGTGTTCGATCGAGGCAAACACGACACGAGCGAGTGAGTGTGCGAGCGTTAGCTGCGGTGAGTTAGTTACCTTCCACATGAGGTTTTTGTTAAGGTGGCCCCAAGTGGCGGTGGCAGATTTGGGGATATTGGGAGCTGAGGGTAAGAAGGCGTGACGGGCGTACGGCAGGGTGGCCACGATGTGAGCCTCTGTTGGAGAGGATTCACCTGCCACTGTTACTGCCGGTTGCCTATCGACTATCGCCCAGCTTCGACCGGACGCCAGGTACTGTAAAAATCGAACCATTCGCCGTTCCCTCTTAACCCTTCGTTTACTGATTCGTTGTTTTGAAATGGGTCGAATCGGTGTATGCGTGTAGACAGAATCGCCTTTCGGGAAGAGTCTTAACCCTCCATCACGTGTATTTTAATTTATCCTTAAGAAAATAAACCATTGGTTACTTGTACGTCCTAGAAATTTATCCGAAGTCTATAAAGTTTCTTGCAATGGAGGATTAAGTCACTTTTTTGATCGCCATTTTATTAGAATAATATATTCGTTAAAAACTGTATTTGAATAGGTGAAATTTTGTATGAGGATGAAATATTTTCATTCGACGTGTGGGAATGTGGCTCTCGAGAACGCTGGAGATGTTAATCCTTCGGTACTTGTACAGGATATTATTTTGATTTACTAGAATTCAAATATAAGTATCCTTTAAATCTTAGGTAAATCAATAAGTTTTAATTATGTAATAACAGTGGACTGTTACAGTAATCCGTGTAAGAATCTGTCGAATTACGAAACAGCAACTGAACAAGGGGTTACTGGATCTGTTGGAAACGTACTTGCCGAAGCCACTACTCGATTATACTAACCGTAACGTAACAGCTGTTGCAGGTAACCAGTAAACAAAGGGTTACTCGAGTCTCGCGAAACCTTTGGACAAAACACCTTGCTCCACCGATCAGTTCGAATCCTCAAGTCCTTAAAAATACCCGGAAAATTCTATTTCGGGCTAAAACACTTTATTCTACTGTAAGTTAGACTCGTCTAAAGGAATCTTCAAAAATATATCCATCGAAATTAGTCACTATTCCAAGCTACGTAAAAAAAATGCAATTTGCATTTCTGGAACAAAACACCTTGCTTCACTGTTAGTCAGACTCATCTAAAAAAATCCTACACGAAATTTATATAGATAGCTATTACGAACTACTTTAAAGAATGCAATACTCTTCGAAGATACAAAATTGCATCGTAAAATTTTAATTTGCATACGTCCCTTCGCTATTCCGGAATTATTCTAAAAATTCAGTGGAAATTCCTTTAATCCTTTGATGGAATCGTGATCGAAGCTCGTTAAACCGGCAAAACGCGCATGCTCGCGAAAATGGCGCGTTCGTGAAGACGGGATTAGCAGGATTTGGGCGCGCCACAGTTAAAAGAGGACCTACTCCGCCTCGTGCAACGCTTTGGAAGCGACACGGGAGATACGGAGCCAGCAAATCCGACGGTATCTCGCGGAGCTGCGATGCTCGCCGGAAGCGTAGCGGATTTAACTCGTACACGGGGCAAAATGGACGACGTAACGGGCTGAGATACGCAACGTCAGCACGCACACCTCGGCCGCCATCGCGCCCGCGTGTTTGTCCCTGGACGAACGACACGTGATCCCAGCCGTTTTCGCGGACAGGTCACGCGAGAACCGCGGGAGGACTTCCGGTCGCCGGGTGGTTGGCAATTTTTCCGTTCTCGCTCGAGAACATCGCGCGACGTTAATTTTTGGCAATCTAGAACTCGCTTCTTGTTCTTCTCTATAAAATCATTATTAGAATTTAAATTTTGTAAGCGATTAAAAGAAAGGCAGACTCCACGAAATACAAAATGAAGAAAACTGATGTTTAGTGGTTCTAAAATTAGCAAAAATTTGTTCTAGCATAATTCAAATATTGAATGATTCATGGACGTATGATAAATAATTCCTTTGTTCGGAGATGAATGCTGGTAGCGCGAGTAAAGTGAACGTTTTACCAAATAGAACTAATAGTCCCTTCCAGGATGGAGAATTTTTTGTTTCCTAGTAGGTAGTTGGGATCTTTCTTTCTTCCATCTATACATGGATTCAGCGATGGAAATTCGCGCGATCGGATCACAGGGCGGCGTCAGCGTCAAGTGCACGGTGCACGGAGATTCTTGCAGATAATACGACGGGGATTGTAAAATGAGACGTTTCAAGACATCCTGCCGTACCGTTGATCCTCGATCTTATTGAGGAAGGTTTCCTCGAAGTCTACGATTATCAATTTTTTCCTTTTCCTCGCCAAGTAATGAAACGGTGGAGCAAGGTGCGACACGAATGGTATCGTCGGCGCGAGGGAACGAGTCTTCCTTGTTTTCTTACTGTTCCGTAACGAGGTAACCGGCTCCTAGTTCAGTGCAAGGCTGACACATAACCGGTACAAAAGACTGGGTCGTCAGTTGCGCACAGGAAACAGCATAATATCGATCATCGTTAGAGCAATCGATCGGTCCGTAAATAAAATTAATATCGCGAAACGGAAATGCCATTGCAACACGCAATTTTCCATGCTACGCTAATTACATTAGAATGTCCCAGAAAATATTGCGCAGTTTAGTCGTTTTGTTGTTATGTTTAAACCGTCCATCGAAACGAACGTGCTTATTAATGGCTCGAGAGCTGGTTTTGCCAGCCTTGCATTCGTTCATTTTTAGAAAAGTTAGCGGGAAAAAGTGATGCACACTGTACCAATAATTTTATATTCCGTTGATTTATCCAAAGTGAGACTAAATAGAGATTTCCTGGTCATTTTTAATCCTTTGCACACCAATGTCGCCGTTACGGCGACATACACAATATGCGTCACAGCTTAATTCTTAATTATGGGGCACACATACTGGATTAACGAAACAATTTTAATTTAAATCATGTATGAAGTTTTAGGAATTCTGTGCATTATATTAAAATATTATTCAAAGATTTTTTTTCTTATTACTGGAAACAAATAGTACTGTACTTCAGATTATAAATCATCCATTTCAGTTTTTTGCAAACAAAAGACTCAACATAGTGTGATTTTTAGAACAATGGCAGAAGACCATATACATCACCAAGCTTGAAACTATTTACTTTTTGTATTTTTCAATAACTAACTTTTTAACATGGAAATATTTCCTGGGACATAAAATACATTAATCTAGTCTTTAACAAACAAAACAAATGACAATTTCCAGTTAATTTTGGTGACCATCTTTGATACATCTACAAAATAAATTAACGATCAAAAATACAGTTATTTAAGGAACATTAATCTTCAATTAGATCAAATTAATTTACACGCAGCACGAAAATAAATCTCTAACTTATTGATACGTTCGAGGAATAAAATTGCACATTTTACCAGTGGTAATAGTATGAATTCCAATATAAAACACGTAGAAATACCGTGTATATAAATTATCCCCGTTCGTTAAAGACTAGAGTATATAGTAATTGTTTTCTGGAACACCCAAATCGAGTCCCCACGGAGACTTGAACGCGCGATTAAAAAGCAAGCATCGTCCACAAGGACGAGACAGATCGTTAGAGGCTTCGGCGATCCGTGTTGGCCTAACTCGCGCCTCTCGAGTACGCACCTGGTGTTAATTAGCAAAACGCACGGAGCCAGGGGTGAGAGAAAAAAAAAATAGGAAAAAAAAAGACGTGTGTGTGGAGAGCGAAAGTGACTGTCCAGCGTGTGTGTGTGCGTTGCGGAGGAGGTGTGAGAGAGACGTGACGGATTGGTTCGCGCGGATTTTTCTCGCCTCTATATATTTTTCCACCTGTCCTCACGGTTAAGTGACCGGTCGTGTACAGATGAGTGGTCTGAAGAACGTTGCGTTTTTTTTTTCGGGCGGTGAACTGAGCCTAACCGTTCGATCCGAGAACAACGATCTCGATCGGGGCATTAAGAATATCTCAAATATGTTTTTTAACACGTTCACTGGCCCACGTACGAATCAGAATAATTTTGAATAAATTGGCCATACGTGAACGGCCATATTGGCCATTTGTTGTAATGATAATATTATCTATTTTTTGACATCGAACGTGTTAAAAAATTAGGATCGCCTCCAATCGAACGGTCGTTCGGCTGCAAGCGGCTTAAAAGTATTTTGGGACTGTGCAGGCAGAAATTGAAGAACCAAACTAGTAAAATAGTACTTTTGCCAATTTACGACGGCTTTAACCCATTGATGTCTGGATCTTTTATCTAGATCGTTTACAAATTTTTTCTCCTGCTTTTTTGGTGAAATTTAGTCCCTTTATTTTCTTGACTTTTTATTCATCGAAGTATTTCTAGTTTTCTTAGGTGATGTAACTATGTGTAATTATTATAGAAAACGGAAATTATAATTAATTCTTAGGAAAGAAGTAGAGCGAAAACATACGATTATTGCATAGTTTCATAACTATAAATATTTCATACACATTTAAAAATATATATATATATAATAAATCTATTGACTTTGGAATATCATGTATTCGTATGTATATTTAAATTAGTTTATACTAATATAATCTTTTGATTGAAGTATACATATATGCACAACACACGTTTGCAAATATGTATATATTATACATAATAAAATTATTGATTTCGAAATATCATATATACTTAAATTAGTTAATATTAAAATAACCCTCTTCTTATTCTGCCTTATTCCCATCGGTTATTTAATTTTAATTTAGGTTCTTCGTAATAATTACAGATAGTCATATCACCAACGAGGCTCAAAAACATTTCAATGAATAAAAAATCAAGAAAATCAAGGGATTGCTTGAACAAGAAATAATAAGTTTATTTTTCCTCGACAAACAAGAATTAATCTTCAAGAAATTATTCGAATTTCTTAACCTTTTCCACTCGAATACTACAGAAAATTATGTGAAAAATTTGATCCACTTTGTGAATTAATAAATTGATGTATAAATGATCTAATTCTTTCTTTTCAAAGTAAAAGAAGTAATCGCACATTTTTCTTAGAAAATTCGACGAATTATCAAGCTGGCGAAACATTGAAGCAATCATCGAGTGCAAAGGGTTAACATCGAGACAAAAATAGACTGTTGTCAATGGGTTAATGATTCGTGAAAGATTCCTGGGTCGTATTTTGTGTCGCAGTTTAGAATTTCTTCGCATTCTGCCCACGCATTTAAGCGAGACCACATTCGCTCGTACATTACGAATCTTTCTGAACGTATACACTTCTTTCATTGTCCACGGAAATTTGTTTAAATTTATTCGCAGAGTAATTGCGTTACCGGTCGGCTCACGCATCGGTGCCTCGAGTAAAAAGAAGTCGATAAGCGACGAACAGGTTTGCGGGGAAGCCGTGACTAAACTTGCTAGAGCAGATGTTGCAAGATGGAATGTAGAAACTGTCCTTTCCTTCGGGCCTCGCAATAAAGACTGCTGACGTTTTATTGCAACTTTTTGCGCGTGTCATTGGACAGATTCTACAGATATCGAGGAGGAATTGTCTAAAAAAATCTTAATGAGATTTTTACGTTGACAAATAAAACTGACTTGTGCAGAATTTGTGTAGAATAAATACTCCGTTCAATGGAATAAGTAAAACTATTACCCTAGCAAATTTCTGATGTCCTACTCATTTATTAGATATAATCTTATGATTTTTGAGAGCAAAGAAATTATACTCAAATAAATTCGTAGGTATTTATAGTCGTCAGCAATATATTTAAATATTTAGACCTTCATATTTTGGTACTCATTGATGAAATATAGGTGTATTATTTTAAAAACTAGATTATGGATATGTATATATGTAATTAATGTACGATATGTTTTCATACAAACTCTTACAACCAGTAAGATATATTTATAATGACGTAAAAAATTATATACATATATTTGATCTGTTGATATACGAAGAAAAATATAATTCTTATTTTGAAATTTCCGCTTCTATAGAATCTAGAATATATAAATTACTTCTTAGGATGACATTTCTAACCGATGAGGACCAAAACGAAAGGGTCGAAAATGTTTTAATATATTGCTCGCGGATGCCTGCGAAGCAACTCTTGCAATTATTAAATTTTGCTGAAATTTATGTGTGTGTCAGGCTGATTTCACGCGAATCGGTCTCACGGCCGCGAGTCATTCTGCAGAAGTTGGACAGCAAGTGTATAGAAAAAACGGGCGAAAGGCTTGAAAGTATGGCGAACAGAGGTCGTCGGAGGCGCAGCTGCGAGGCCGATTCGTAAATCATCGATGTTACAGATTCGTTACGTCTCTCGCGCGTGTGCCGGGCGTAGAGAAGCGTTTCATTAACGATCCGGAACATCTGAAATAAATGGCAAACCGCGCGCGCGCGCGCGGCCCGCTGGGGACGTAGCAATAAAAGTAAGTACTCCGGTGAGAGGGGACGTCGGAAGGGAAGAGGGTACAAAGTAGCCAGCAACCGCGTTACACCAAACCCAGAGCCAGATAAGAAGCACGAAAATCACCATTTGTTAGTAGGAGGTCTTGCAAATAGTATGTTCGCGTGTCTACAGGTGGACAGAATCGAGCGAGAGAACGTGCCTGGTATTTTCCGACCGTTGCTTACCGCGATGAATTTGCTTGTTTCGTTCCCTTTCGTCGCACTCGGTTCTGCGACCATTTTCTCGGAGAAATGTACCAACTTCCCGGACGGTGGAGAAAGAACATTTATTCTAAAGTTCGAGTTACCCCGCAATGAGCGATAAGAGAGATAAGAAAATGATTCTGCGTTCAAAAACAAATCGAAAACTTGGGATACAATTTTTCTGTACGGGGCTTCGTCTTCGAGAAAATTGAGCTTTAACATTTTTGGAGCACACGAGCGATTTACTAAGCTTCTATTGTTAATTTTATATACAGTTCCTATCAGTACAATAACAAAATGATTTTGTATTCAAAAGTAAGTCGAAAACTTGGGATACAATTTTTCTGTACGGAGCTCCGTTTTCGAGAAAATTGAGTCTCGACATTTTTGGAGTTCACGAGTGATTCATTAAGATTCGGTTGAATGAATCTGTCTCCTGCATTTGGATAAAGAGTTTGGGAAGTAATTTATAATCAGAAATACTATTTTGCTGTCGTTAAACTCTATATAATGTGGCTATATATAAAATGAGGAAGCGTAGGGGGAGCCACGATGCTAAGACTTATGAGAACTGTTCGCTCTGAGCCCGCGTAATTTAAACATCGATTTTGTCGAAGACGAAGACCTTACGAAGAAAGATTATTCCACATTTTCGATTTATTTTTGGATGTAGATACAAATACTTCCTCCATTGAATCACTTATTGCGAGACACCCTACATAAGGTAATTCGTGCTCGTACAATTGAATACATAACAGGAGTGGCGAACTTCTTTTTGTCACGAGCAATATAAAAATTAATTGAAAACAGTGGACAGTATTTAATTTTCGAATCAGAAGAGTACAACAGTAAATGCAAGTTCGATTTGCCACTTAAAAGAAAACAGATTTCTAAAATTCTTTCAAGACTTTAAAAACTTTCAATGAAATTTTTATCCGTCGTTTGTTTACGTTTTACTTTCATAGAATTCTCCGAATTTAATTTCGAATAAAAATAGTTTTATTTCGCAAATATTTAAAAAATTGTCATATTTCTCACATTTCAAGCCAACAATTAATTTTATTCGGATTTCGGTCGCGTATCAATTAATTCGCGCGTGCTCCGCGCGTTCGCCATTCCCGCTACATAATCGAATATATTCCCGCGTACGCATGTGTCTCTAATAACTCCTCGTTGACAATTATTTAACACCGATAAAAATGTATTCGTCGTTAAAATTCCAAGCAAAGTTGCCAATCGCCTGACGAACTCGCGAATGAAAAAAGTAAAGAAGATACGAGTATCGATGTTACGCAATTATATAATTGTCGTTCGACGTAATTCATCATTTCCAGCCGCCGAGCGCGGCTCGCGTAATCTCCACCAAATCCGATAAATTCGCCCCGACAATTGGCAATAAATTTTTAGCGGGAAAACACAACGGCACACGATCGCGCCGCCGCTGCGTAGTTATCGTTTCATCTACAACCGTGTATCGCTTGTTTTATCATACAAATCTGCGGTACGAGCACGTTCAATAATTTCTCGTCTCTCTCTCTCTCTCTCTCTCTCTCTCTCTCTCTCTCTTTTCTATTTCTGCTCGTCGAAATCCCCAACCCCTAGTGTTCTAGCGCCCAACACACTCTTTCTTTCTCTATTTCTCTCTGAAATTCTCCTCGCTGCGAACGCGATAGGGTCCGAAAGAGTCGAACGGTTCGTTAAATGCCTTTTTAGCCGGTCTCGCTCCAAAGCCAGCTTTTCGAGGCGGCGAAGCGATTACCGGGTGACGTTAAAAAAGTGTTTCTGGCACGCGCCACTTTTCGACCGTTACGCACGACGATTCGAAACGAATCCCTCGACTAGAAGGGTCGAAGACACCCGCTTCGCAATATATCCTGCAACAGACTTGGGGTAACACATTAAAAAAAAAGAGGAAAGAAAAACGGAGGAGAAGAAAAGAAAATAATAGCCACGGCAGAAAATAGGACAGGAGGGTTGCGTCGGACCTCGAAGACGGAGGGCGACGCGGTCGAATTAGCATACACGAGCGAAGAGAGTCGAGGGGTGGCGGCGACAGTGGTTAAACGCTTAACTAGGTACACCGGGGGACGTTTAAATTCCTACATGGGATTCTTCGAAACGCGTAACGCGATTCCCGGAAGTTACCGGTTCCTGAAGCCTTGTATTTTTTTCCACGCGGAAGAAAGAAGGGCTGGAGCGCATCTGTAGGCGAAAAATAAAACTCGGAATCGCGTGATGACGGTTCCCGCCGCGGACGGGAACCGTTCTTAATCGCGTGGATGATCGAGGCGCGGTGTAGATGAAACCGATGGAATTCGCCCCGATAATGGGGCAAGAAACCTTCTGGATCGAGTTATCAACTCGAAAGGCAGGTCGAGCGTTCTCGGTACGAGCGACAGAGCGGCGATAGAGGGAGTGTGTGTTATTAATTCCAGTACCATTAATCATACTTGCGTTACTGGCAGAAACAAGCGATAGACCAGGAGACGGAAAAAAATAAATTGCAAAAAGAACAGAGAAGAGTGATATTACAGTCGTTTGCGAAAAGAGGAGAGCCAGATCAGAGTGTGTGAGCGAGCGAGTGAGCATGTGTGAGAGAGAGAGAATGCGAGAGAGACCTATATTTTATTTATCCTCCTCCGACTATGAAATATTCCCTGTTTTCCAATTATCTACTGGGTTCGTTCCCATCCCCACCCTGAGCACGACAATTTACAGACACGTCGGATACACGTGAAACAAGAGAATTCGTTTTCTCGGTTTGGTGTAGAAGCGGCTATCGGATACCTTGCTGAGCGGGATGCCTATTGTGGTTGCTAGGTGCCATCATGTGCATCTGGTGTGCCCCGACCGGCGACCTCAGCGACAAATTGTTCAGGTTCACGTTTATCGAAAGATTCGTATTGTTACAGGCGGCGGTCAGGTTGTTGTGATTGTTCGGCGGTGCGGTGGTTGGTGTTGTACCCACATTGGAGGCGGTGTGCGGAGACAATCCTGAGCTGTCGGTCGTCGGCGCTGACGGGTTCGACGAGGTGTTGTGCGAGGCGAAATCCTTGCCGCCGTTTGCTCCGCCAGCGCCCCCGCTGGTGCCCGACGAGCCACCAGAACCACCTGTCACCGTCTTCGAGCACCTCAGGCACTTCGGTAGCCAGGAATGCCGACGCACGAACTTCCTGTATTCCTTCCTCACCTGCAATGGAGAAACAGACCCACCCCCCGAACGAAACGTTTTTAACGGTGCACAAAGAACCAAGGCAGGTGCGACACGCGCGGTCGTTTCTCGTCGGTCGATGACAAATGAACGAAACGAAATAAAAAAAAATTATACCAAAGTAGATGAAAACAAACTGACGATGCTCGGAACGACTCGTTAACCTCGATGCTCGGAAATGGCTGGCTTTGCCACGGAAACATTGTTTCGTAACCGTTTCTCTGTACGTCCTAGGATCACAGAAAGTTGGATGGAAAAATATGAACTGATTTTTGATCAGTGATTTAACTTTTGCTAGGCCATATTAGGTACCTTCGCCCTTCTAATTTCACACCTTGTTAAATAATACTGTAAAATATTAATAATGACATATGAATTAAAAGATGGACATTTGTGAAAGCACTTGAATTTTAATACAAATAAATTAATTAAATAAATTTTAAATTCTATCCATTCATACTAGTTCATAATTGTAACATATTTCCTGTTTCAACTGTAAGAGTAAAGACATTTCAAAACGAATTTAATACATTTCCTATCTATACATTATATAAAATATTATTTATTACATTTTGCAAAACATTAATAACTTACACCACGAACGTTTAGATTAATAAACAAATATTCTTTCTCTATTTCCTAAGACGTACAGACGGACGTTGCTAAACAATTTTTCTTTTCCACCGAGTAGGAAAGATGGCCACTTCCGAGCATCGTTTTTCGACGATGAGATCGAAACGTCGAAGGCTGTCGACGAGCTTGCATCGATTGTTTACGGGAAGCGTCGGTGCTGAATTTACAGATAAATCAGGAAAAGAGCGGTGCATCCTGAATTGGCAACCAAAGTAAAAAAGTTGTCAAGTAAACGAAAAGGAAAGGATGACGAGCTGCAAATCAGACTACAGGATCCCCGGATATTCGTCGAGTAAACGTGGGCGATGTTTCAGATTGCCACAGCACTTTATTCGAGACATCATTTGTTGTCATCATGTTCGTTTACGAGATATTTGTTATTACGATGTCTGGAGACGTTGCGTTAACATGATTCCCTTTCAAGCGATCTTGCCTAGGAATTACTCGCTACTTATACAATATGAATTCTTATGTTACAAGATGCTTGACTCGTGAATAATTATGTACCATAACTTACGTTAGACACTGTTTTACAATCTTTATATAAAATTGCGCCTTTTAAAACTGATTACCTCGCTTCGCGTTGTCTTCTATCGACTTTTCTTGATTCTCAACTCGTTGATTTCGAAATTTGCGGAGAACTTGGTACGGAATCGCGAGATTTACATGTTATTAACATTGTACTTTCAACAAATTGTTTAATGATATTGGTCGAACGATTGGTATAAATTTCTTCGCGTTGCTTAGATCGTTCGCGTTTAATCGTTTTTACGACGAAGAGGGTACTGCACGAAGTGCTCGGATTTTAACGAAATTTCATACATGGATGCACGAAAAATAGGTAAAGAGGTCTGCAACGAGAAAGACTGTTTGCCGACGATGATTCAAACATTTAATTTGGTGTTTTAGTGCAGTGTTTTTCAAACCGACGTGCGATTTATTGGAAAATAATTTCAAGAAATTAAGTTTGTCAAGATTTTAGATTGAGATTAAAAAAGAATTTCTATTATTAAGTAGAAAAAATGTATTACTATTATTACCATTCATGGTGACCTATTTGTACGAATTGGGATTTAGGATTCTCTACTCTGGATAGTGGGTTGTGGCTAGAAAAATTTGAAAAACACTGGTCTAGTGGCTGAATTCAGAGGCAAGAAAAATTTTGATCTACACAAAAGTTTCGAATAACAAATAAAAAATAAGCAATGGTTTATTTCGGTCGCATAAAGGTTAGAAATAAATTGGTGGTTCTATATATTATGTAAGAGTTTATTAAATTTATTATCGTAAGCATTCACGAAGCTTCGTAAAAATTCGTGCGTAACGCTTCGTGCAGTGTCCTCTTTGGCTCTGATTCGAACGAAGATGGTATCGAGGAAGATGAAATAGCGACAGATGACTGGACGACACGGCCACGATGTTTGAAGGTTAAAACGCGCCCCGACGCGTGACAACTGACCGAGTTCGATTTTAAAGTAAAGTTGACGTTTGTACCCCGACGTATTCCCTTACCTTCTCGTTCTGAACGCAATGGAACACAAAGATAAACAGCCCCTGGAGACTATTCAATATGGTGAAGATGTACGCCATCGCGACGGACTCTTGGTTCAAGTAGAGGAGCCCGAACGTCCAGGTGAGTCCCAGCAGAAAGACCAGGACGATTGCGCCTCTCAGCCATGCCCTAGCGAGAAAACACACGCGAAATTAGTCAAGCTGAAAATAATTGTCGCGGCGATGCTTAAAGGAGCGCGAATGATCGTGAAATTTACAAGGATCGGATACGGTGAATAGAAACGAAGGAGAAACAATGAACAAAAATCGAAGGGACAGAGAGAGGGGGGCCTCTTAGTCTTGTGCCATCGAAGGTATTAAGGTTAAATGCGCTAAATGATCGATGACGGTGTGACTTTAATTCTAATAATTCCAATGCTACATTTGTCACGTTTCTTATCGAAATGGAACGACCGAGAACACGGAAGATTATCAGAACGGTGTTATGCGCTGAAATGCACGCAACATTTCGAGCGAGCCAAGACGCTAACGTGTACTAATGCTGCTCGTTTCTACACGGTGTCGTGTGAACACGTTCCACCTCGAGGCATTAGCATCGTTAATGTTTTCGTGAGAGACTAGAAGCGGCCGGAGTCCTGTAAGCATCGCACACACACTGTATTTCTTTGTACGTTCTCTGTTTCTTTCTTGCTTCGGTTTATTTTTTAGTTTTCGTCAATCTTTCGAAACGATCACGACTACGAAGAACGGGAAGAGGCCTGGGTTTCACGAAACTACACAGGTAGAGGCGGGTTTCTCTTCGTTTTACGTCTAATCTCGCGTATTCTAACTACTCTCGAATCAGGCGTGTTACACCCGAAAAACTAAGTATAGATACGGCATGCGATCGGATCGTCGTGCGCGCTCGGAGGAATGGTGAACTTCAAAAAATTCTAGATCGATAATCATTCGATCGATTAAAATAATTTTGTCCGTCTCTACTGTAAACTTATTTTATTCGTAACTTAAAATCCATCAGTTTTTGTAACTTTTTGGGGACGGCCATTTTAGTGCACGAACGTTAGGGATGTTCAGAAAAGTAACGAGTATTTAAAAATTAATTTATCCAGCATATACATTTTATTTTAACTTAGCATTTCATTAGAAACTTATGGAAATACATTTTTATTAATTTATGGTGACTGATTTCTTAAGAATTTTCTAACGTACGTCCAAAATGGTAAAAGTATATTGTCTTTAAAGGGTTTAAAACAAAAATTAGTTTACGAGTTAATTTGAAATTGTTGCTAGTTATTTGCGAAATAATTTGCTCGATTGTGGCGTGAATGAAGATGGAGGACGCGTCGATCAATGGCACGTGGATTTCATGAAACGTGGTCGCGAAGACGCCACCGCGAAAGCTGCTGTAATTGCAACGTTGCTCAAGCTTGCAACTGGGAAACGAAAATAATAATTGCGTTTCCAGCGAGTCGCACGATCGATCCGGCGTAATCGTTCAACGAACTGCGTGTTCGTCGCGGCGTGACTAGCTACGTTTACGTTCTACATTCGCAGTGTTCAATCGAAAAATGATCGTCAGCCCGTATGGAAACGAAAGAAAAACAGAAGAATGGAAACTGTGTGAATGTAAGGTAAATTAAAGACACGTGGATAAAGACGGTTAGTGAAGTATGACGTTAATACGATGAACGTGACGTGAGTAATAATAAAAATGGTAAATATCTTACAAGTGCGCTTGCAATTTGTTGGGAAGAGCATTCTCTTCCTTTCCACTACCAACCAACCACGCCATGCAGAAGAATGTAGAACAGTGTAGACAGAAGTGGGTAGAAGATTTAATACAAAAATGAAACAAGACAGCAACGTTAGGTGATTGTTCCGGCACCAATAATTAATTGATTATATAAGAAAAAAAAAAATATTTTTAATTCTCATTTTAGTTGGTGCAACGCTCGATTCGTATTACTATGCGCTGTGATCAGTGCCCGTTAGTGCAACGATAGTTAGAAACATTTGTACACGTCGTGAATTACTGAATGCTGAAATTAAAAAAAAAATATACATATATATGTATGTACAGAATGAACGCAACGACGAAGCAGCCTCGATAATAATTCGAGTCGAGTTTGCAGGAAAATTTAACTACCATCACCGACATTTCCATATGGAGATATATCAAGTTAATACCGTGTCGTAATTACTGTCTCTCCATGTTTGACGTATTTTGTTCGCTTCGTTTACGAATCAGAAAACAACAAATGTAATTGTTAGAACGATTGTTCGTACGTACAATTCTCGTTGAGGCATGATTCGACTGTGAACGGCGTTTTCAATCGCGTATGCACGAGTTAGCTAGTGTCATTAAATCATAAATATACAGAATGATACGCTGGAAACGGGTCACGTTAATATCTTTGTTGTTTCGAATAACTGGAAGAAGCGTTGTTTGGCAATTATTTCTTCGTGGGAATGTGTGTGCAACAGATTTAAATATCGGATAACACTTCTCGATTTCGGCAATATTATTATTCGTAAACATAAACGGTTTCGACTGTTGGATTAATAATACAGAAATATTTTAAGGTAAAATTATTTAAAATTTTAAGCTTGTTCCCATTATTTAAAATGGCGAAGATGTCAAGGTGGTTCGTTTCCAGCGGTACACTCTGTATGTATATACCATACGTCCATATATAATACCTAAGATTTACAGCAACACAAGTGGTGTGTCGAACGAACGAAATCTGCGGTCATGCCAACACAGGTACTCAACAAAGACAAAAAAGAAAACCAAAAAACTTAGCATGGCCGCCAAATGATGCGTGACAATAAGATTCTCTTTCGGGGAGATCTCTTTTAAGCAAGTAAAGCTTGCGAACGTGAACCGAAAGCACGATACAAACACTTCGATTCTACTCGACGAGAGGATATCGTATACTCGAACGTGTCAACGAACGGATCCGATCGATTACTTGATGTAAAATGTATAATATATATACATGTACAAGTTTGCTATTACGCACGACGTTTACTTCGAACCCGAAGTGTCTGGGCTTACCTTGCACTGGCCAATCGTGAGTGCTCCTTACTCTTCATCGCTACTGTCGTGTTCGCGTGCCGGCACATCATGTAAATTGCCATCGACAGGAATACCAAGTTCGCCTAATCAAACAAAAGTGCAACGTATCGATAAATATTGTCAACTCAAATATGACGACAGCTTCCGCGTGTCAGAATCTGACCCCTTAACCCTCTGCAACCCTACTCCCCGAGTCACCCATTATTTATATTTTTCACGTCTTCTTTAATTTCATTATTAATGCCAATTTTTTAAATCAAGACGATTACGATTGCGGTTATCAAAATTTACTTTTCAATTTGTGCCCTAATATTAGTGTATCTTAATGTTCCTTTCTGAAGTCATAGTTATAGAGCATTAAAATGAATATTAATATTTAAGTCTATTATAAATTGTACTAATCTTGTTCTTTTTTGAAGTCAAACATAGTTTGAGTTAAAATGATATTATTCTGGGATAAAGTAAACACTGCTCAAAATAATTAGATCTGTCATTTGACTGAGACGTGCACTAGGTAGAAATGACATTGTTACATTACTATAAATGTTACTAATATAACTTCAACAGAAGTGATCAATTATGTACATAGAGCAGACCATTGCTTACAGAATGATACAAAGGGTGAATCACGGTCAGCGATCAGCGAATAAATAAAATAATTTTGGCAGTGTCTCGAGCAACCGTAGACGATCATTAAGCAATCTATCTCCTAATTATTTCAAGTATTTAAATTGGTCTTTAACCAATCTGAACGAATGTTTACGTAGGGTCTTACCAGTATAACGAGTATCACAGGTCCAACGAAGCTGAAGATGAAATAGTTGTCTGCTCTGAGCCAGCAATATCGATCGGTACCGTAACTGAGAGGATCGATTATACAAGATATAGCAACGACGAGCAGAGGAGCACCGTAAGCGACCAGATAGTACCAGCGGAGCCTCGATTTTTCCGCCTCGAAGACCTCGATCAGCATCACGTATAATTGGAATCCTGGAAGAATGTCAGGGGGAAAAAGTCAGACCCTTCTTTTCCTGGGGATCACCGTGAAATTATTCGACGTCCCCGCTGTTTGCTTGTACAATCCAGCGAACGACTGTCCCGCGGATCCCATTCGGGTATTGTACCTTCGAGGAACATCCAGGCGAACGCGCAGAGGAAGAAGAAGTGCAAGAGTCCAGCGACGATGCCGCAGACAATTCTCTGATTCGTTTGACCGATTCCGCAAACGAATAAAATTTCCGCGATTAGCAGGCACACGCAGAGATTCTTGTGGATGGTCGTTCTGTCCGACTGCAATGAGACCGCGTGACGTTCAATGGACAACCTTGAATTAATCGCGACGAGGGATCGACGATCGACGTCGAAATCGACGTTTACCTTCAGTCCGCGAAATAATTGAAACGTCAGGATGGCCAGGACGAGACAGACCACGGAAATGATGCAACCGATGTAGGTGATGATCTGCAGCGCCACTTGATGAGCGATGTCCAGCCTGACGGCATGCACGTCCATGAGAACGGCGAAGTTTGTCAAATGGTTGCACTCGCAGATCGTGTGGGTCTCGTTGGTTTTGCGTATCAGGCAACCCTCTTCCGACCAAGCGCTAGAAAACACGTTCAAACAATAATTATTAATGATCCAAAAATATAAGGGTAGTTTCGGGCAGAATTGATTATTCTTTCAACGGTGTCGGGTACTTTTTTCAAATCGATATATGTTGACGTCCGTCTGAAAATACGGGATATTTAAGTAATCAGGTTGCTGTCTTTGTAATTGTTTAAAAGATATATGCAAAATATGTGTGCACCCTCCAAATTCGAGTGAAAATACCTTCCATGCGCTAATTTCGACACGAGATATGAGTAATTTAATTGATATTAAACGAACGTGACCGTTCGACCGAGCGACGTTGGGGGCCCTCAAGAACTTGTACGAAGAAAGTTACCTTAAGATGTAGTCCCAGAAGACGCAAGTTGGATTGGTGACGTTCTCTATCGACAGATGTTTGAAATAGACTCTGACGGGTTCGCTGAGCTGTATGTGCCTCCCTTTGCCCAGAGACGCGGAGATCACTTTGCTGTTGAGGAGCCTAGTCGTGTTCCTTTTCGGCAGCGGTTGCGGGTCGTCATTCATGACCAACGACGATACCTCGGCTTGCGGCTGCAAGATCTCCTCGAGTCTGTCAAAGGCCATGAAAACTAAACGGACAATACCGCCGTGACTGTTCTCCAGCAAAGCGCCTCTGGTCAGCTCCACCCGATCGTTTGAAGCTGCCCACCTTTGTTGGGCCGCCTCGGTGGGGAACACTTCGAGATCGTCCCCGATGTTTCGGGCGTCCAACACGCGCACTTCCAACACTGTTTTAAACGAGAATAAAATGTTAACGCTCGTTTTATTTCACGTGGTATCTAATTAGTAACTTGAGAACGTAGTTACGGAAGCTCAGTTTCGCTTTATCGATGGTAAACGTTTGGGTTCCCAGCTTTGGACCACCTTCGACAATAACGAACTGATTAATTGTGCAATAAATAAAAATAACCATGACAAACATAGAATTGTATCTCGTTTCGTAGAAGAATTTGTCTATTCGTTGTTTACTTTGAGAATGTTATTTTTTAGATCAAGAAAGCTGTGACAAATGCTTCCATTGATTCATTTAATGTATATTATTTCAAAAATATATATTGCACTTGGATGAAATTGGCCATGCGAGTTGATTTAATTTTGTGGACTCGAACAGTGATTTCGACGTTTTAATTTGTTACTCAAACAGAAATTGAAATTTCGAAACCGAACCTTTAGTAAAATGTGCTGCAACCATTTTGGAAAATAATTACATGTTGAGCTATTTTCAATTGATATCATTACAAACATCCCTCACACACTTTTATTATTGAAATTATTATATTACTGCAAAATTAAATGCAGTTATTTCATCGTGGTCAGAGTTTATTAAATATGGTATATTAAATATTTATGGATAAATATATGACCTAAATAGAAGGAAAAATTATTAAGAAAATTCTTGAAATTCTGTTCTACAACCACAGTGTTAAAAATTGGAATTAATTCACATAAATTGACTGAAAAAATTGTAAATAAAACGATGCTGCATTAACGATCCTCGATGGATGCATACGAAAATTATAAAATGTTGTTTTGTATCTTATAAATTAGTACGTAGATAATCGTATCCATATTACCTCTTGACTTGTAAAGGCAAAAACTTTTATTATTCAGCCTATCTCAGAAAAAGTTTATCGACCCCTGATATAGATTGTTATAGATATTACATCGTGTAACGTTATGGATAAAATTTATTGTATGTACTCGTAGAATATTTTGTCCATAAATCTGTGTCAACTATTCCGAGGGAAAATATATCAAGCATTGTCTCCAGTCTTGTCAACGAAATAATACACATATAAATATTAGTCTTTGTACCATTCGTAGTTGCATTTTTCAAAAAAAATAAAGTACGTCGTCAATCTTCTTGCAGTATTTCTTTGCGGTCGAAAATAAATTTTGTATAGTAAACTCACGTACATACATTTTTTTATTTTTCTTTAGAAAGTTCAAATATAACGTTCTTTGTAAACGAAGGGAGTATCTTTTACGATAGAAAACAAATAGCACTAACTTCAAAGATAGATAGAATTCTTATCTATAATAAATAAAAATTCGAAGCACCAAATACAAATTTGATCTGTATTTTATAAATAAAACTGATTTAATAAATCAGAAAGACAAACATTTTTATTATTTCATCCTCCTTAGAAAAAGTTTATCGCTCCTGGTATAAATTGTATAGGCATTAGATCATGCAACGTTATGGACAAAATTTATAGTGTGCACTCGTAAAAAATTGACCATAAATCATCAAACACACCGAGACAAAATATACAAATTCATTGTCTGTAGTGTTGCTAAACGAAATGACAAACGTATAAATATTATTCTTTATATCTTTTGCGATTGCTTCGTGTATTTTTCTTACTAAATAAAACACGTTGCCGGTAACACAATAAATAAAAATATTAATATTACGAAAGAATGATCAAACTCACACGGGTATCATTAAAATTTATTTAAAAGTACACAGTAGCAATTCTTTTTATTTCGTAGTATTAAATCTGAATTTTTATTTAGTAAATGGAATTATAGACTAGAGTTATGGAGATATAATCGTGTCACACTAACGATCTCGAATTTCTTTTTAACTTTTTCTTCGTTCATCAAAAGAACATTAGTCTAGGAGCGGATCCAATCTTAAGAAAATATATTTATAAATATTTTCAGTATGCACTGGTATAAATAAATAATTAATGTAAACTTGATTGCTTTGGCTATCAACGAAGAAAAGAATCGTAAATAAATTATAAGCAAATTTCCAAGCAAGATTTCTAAATCCTTGCACTATTCTTATAGAATCGTCGGATCGATCTAACTCTGTATTATCAAATTCTAATTTCTATGCATGGAATAACGGGCAGACAGTTTATCCTTTTCCATTATTCGAAATGTTTGTCCAGATAAGAATTTTGCCCATCTCTGTCAGGGAATATTATGTTACGTAGCACCCGACCGGCTGTCGCTCATCAAACTCATCTTCTTTTTACCCTTTACTGTTATGCTATTTATCACGTGCGGATCTAATGTTGCTGCTACTTCATTCGACCGCGGAGCACATCTCGCTTCCAGGCTCAATCACGACGCGCAGCCTAACTTCCGGGAAGTAAATCAAATTGCTCGTAATTTTCTCTCCTCCCCTCCACCGGTTTTGTTGTGATAACGGGTGGAAAGGGGAGGGAGGTGAGGCTCGGGTTACAACATTATCCGGGAAGGTACCAGAGAATTACGATGGGTTTGGATCTTTGTTTTATCTGCGCCGGATATTACCAGCGTCGCATTCTCCAGATAAGGGATCTAGATTTATGCGACCCAATGCTAAAGTCAGACCTACGGTGCTCGCATGTTCATTCTACCGGAGATCCGGCGCTAACTTGTTACTCTGCTACTATTTCTTTTTTAACAGCCGATCCACCGTAGTTGATAAACCACCGCTACAGATAACTTCTCGAAATGTAGAGCGTATGATGAAGCAAGATGATTTAGTGGCCCTTGCATATGTAACTGTTAAGAGTTAATGGAAGCTTACATTTTTCATCGACGTCGTTGTTTTATGGAGTACGATCAAGTATACAGTAATAATTCTCTGTTCAAAATTAAATAACCATTTGCTTTAATCGTTACGAATAAGACTGCAAGGGCAGATTTTTCAATCAATGCCACGAGGTGTTTCCTTTTCGAAAAAGTCGACACAGAAAATGAATAGAGTCCTTCGTCGGTGCCAGTGGAAACAGCGAACAATGGACGGACGCGTCAAACAAATCGTATTCGAAATTTAAAAATTTCAGCCAATTTTACATATAAGTAAACAGTGTATTTTAAACTCACGTATGTTCCTTCCTTCGTGGGTGATGGTCTTCTCGTGCATCAGCGTGTCCGCCAACAAGAACGCGTTCTCCTCGAGTCCAGTCAACAACGATGTGGCGACCCTCATCTGCTCCTGATGGCTAAGATCCTTCCAAGACGCCATCTGAGCTTTGTCCAGGAGATTGCTGCCTGTCCTGACGACACCCTGAAGCAGCTCCGTGACGCTGACCTCCCTCTGGCTCGCGTCCTGGTACGTCCTTATATCCTGGGCCATCTTCTCCGCCATGTTCTTCATGATCTTGGTGGTGATCATCATGTCGCCGCCGTAGAGTCCTCTGCTGTTGTTCGTCACCTGCGACAGCTCTCTGCTGATGCCCAGGATAACGTCACCCTCCGTCACTCTATTCTCCAGGGTGGTCAACCACACGGAACGACATTCGCTGAGATCCGGGCTGTCCCTGTGCCAGAAGGCCGAGTCACCTTTGGCCAAACATCTCCAGCGTGCCAAACCGTTGGCACCGCCGGGACAACTCTGGACCGCCACGTCGCCGGCTCTGGTCGTGTTCCAGGTGAGCGTCCTGGCCACCACCGGGGGACACACTTGTCTACCGTAGTCGTACCATTGGCCATTCGAGCTGGACTCCGGGTAGAGCGTGCTGGGCACTGGAATATTTGAGTTAGTTACGAGCGTTAGTTGGCCCGTTAGTCGGCTACAGTTAATGGCACGGCTTTAATGTGATTCTAGTGTCCGGTCCCAGGCGGTGCCGGGATTAACTAGCGACATCCTATCGGGTCCGCGAAACGGAATTTTCGGATGCCCAAGGGTGTCTTAATCTTTTGCGGTGATTGTTATAGAGTTTCCTCGGTTACACGAATTCGGAGGACAATAGCGCTCAAAAGTTTCGGGTCACCGGACTAGATTAGCACTTGGACTTCGCGAAGTGTACCGAGATAAAGTGGACTCATATTTTTAGGTAACATTTCTCACCTCGTTTCCAATTTTAGGTTAGAATTTTTATCGAAAAGTTAGAATACAAATCGAAGTTAAATATACTTACTTCCAGAATTCACTACTGCTGACAAGATTTAATAATTTAAAACTGTTCTAGAACCTTATATAGCGAAAAATTAACTATCTTATAAAGAAACAAAGCATCGTGGCTGCCATACAATAATTTGAAATGGAGTTTTTGCTCGCAAATATGGAGAATGGGCATAGTAATTCCCTAATAAACTTATCGAAGTTACGAAACCGTGGATTTTTTTTTAAACCTTTTTGCTTTCGTGAATCGTGAATATTATACGTGAACCCTAATCTTCGAGCAGTAGAATGGAATTCGATAGGGCGATGATAATTAGAAAAACAAAATTGGGAACAATTAGAGGCTACGTCACTATTGATATCTTTTCAGGGTCCCTTCAACCGCAGGCCAGCTAAAATTTGGAAGCTCTGACACCTGCCCTTTGAGCATTAACCCCTTTGGTACGATCGTCGACTGTAATTGACAGCCGACAAGCTCTCGCCCGAGTCGACGCGTCGACCATAATGGACGGCTGATAGTTCTAACCAGTTATGCACATCCACTCGATGTATTCTTGCTGCAGCAAAGCTATCCAGATTAGTTCGACGTTAGGAATTATATTAGATTTATCGATTTAAGTACTAAGTAACGCGCCCTTTTCAAAACCTCGCTATTGAGGACGCGAGGACAAATACAGAAATAATTCTTTTCACAATATTCAAAATATTCTACTAAAAGAAATAAAAAGGAATTTCATCCCCTTTATTAAACTTTTAAGTCGTGAAAATATACATATTTGCAGGACTTTAAATTATACGAGGTTTAAAATTGACGTGTACAATGGTTTTCTCAAAAACAAAAAATAAGAAGTTGGCACTAAATTTTGGGGGCTCCAAATTAGAGAAATATTTTAAACGCGTTTACAACTCACCAGTGGTCCTTAGATTCGTTCTCCAAGAGGCGAAGGTCGACGTTGTTGTGGCCTGAGTGGTTTCAGGAACAGTTGGAGGCACCGCAGGTCCGTTCGCAGACGGAACGTTTGCAGGAAGTATTAAGTCCTGGTCCACTTCGACTACCTCCATATCGACTGGGGACCTCGTTGACGTGGGACTGCAAAATGGAGGGAGATCGTCATTTTCAACGGCGTTCGTGGCGTCGAACTTTGCCATGGACAATGATGCAACGAAAATATTTCTCTTTCGAAAAGCACGATATAACGCAATTTAATAGAGCCTTACAATAACTCTGTTTTTTCAACGGACGCCGAAGAATATCCTTTTAGACTCGGCGGATCTTACGTGACCGCAGTTTAAGTCCACTTCGATCATTTTATCGTGCTTGAATAAACATTATTGGAATGTTTGTGGGAATCGTAAAAGTAATAAGACCACATGTGGACTCAGAGAGAAGAATTGTCTAAAATATAAAATTTGAAACAGTGTAATTTTAGGTAATAATTTTAGATAAAGAAGAAGGGAAACAGAAAATAATAATTTTTTGGAATCATGTCTCTCTACTTTGTTGTTTAATACATTACAAAATTTGCACTGTTACAAATGTTTGTATTTCAGATTTCCAGTCTTTTTTCTTGAAGAACTACACTCTTATTGTGGGGTTATTTTTATTGTGTGGTATGCCTGGTGAGTGAGTGGGGAATGAATGAGTGTGGATTTTGGCAACGCTGGGACGCGAGAGGGGGACGCGCGGAAGTCCCATGTATGGAGAGAGTGTGATGCACACGTGGAGAGAACATTGTGAAAAATATATATACGTTAATTTATTAAACAGAAAGTGGCTCATTTAATTTGACTACCAAATTCCTCCCACACTTATTACCACCAAATTATCAAAACAATCATGAGTTTGATATTTATTAAAAAATTCTCTGTACAGAAAGGAAATATTGTATAATATTGTGTACGAATGCAATAATTTCAGTGTCTGCAAATTATTTGTTTTCTCAATCTCTTTTAACAATGGTTAGAAATAAGGGTTGAAACCGTTGCCAGCGAAATGTCTAGGAGAGTGTTGTTAATAAAATTTCGTTACGAAGTGACCAAAGAGATACTGACCTTGACGTGGTGGTTATTGGCAGCGTGGGGGTGGACTGCGCCGGCGGCTGGGGCTGCTGTTGAGCTGGGGGTGTCGTAATCCTAGAGGGAGGCCTGACAGTCGGCTTAGCCGTGCTCCAAACGCTTGGCTGCGAAGTCGTGAGCCACGGCGGGCTCGGACGGGACGTTGTCGTGGTCGTGGCCGCTGCAAGTGTTTCGTCGAGCTCGTTTTAACGTCGTGAACGCTAGATGGGGGTGGCACGAAACCGAGGTGGCGAAGACGAAAGACGCGGAAAGGAGAGACGGCAGGCAGGGCTTTGGCAGGCCGGCCGTGGATCACTAAGAGCTCGTCTACGAGCTTATCGGATTCGAACGCCGGGTATAATTAAGAAGGAAAGTGATTTGAGGGTCTCGTCGAGGGGTAGACGAGCTTCTCAGCCGGCTCAAACGACGGAGATATTTTAAACCTCCTTAGGGGGGAGCGGCGGAGGACCGGGGATGAATCTCTCGCCAATTCCCATCGGAACGTTTTCTCTTTTGCGGGCCAGAAACTAGCGGGCGTTCGTTTGTTTCTCCCGGAATTGCCGCGTCGCGGTGAGAACGTCTTTAATCTCGACGATTGGACCGTGTTTCCATCGCGTCCCCGGGATCGAGTGGGAAATTAATCGGGACCAAGGATGATAGAGATTAATTCGCCGGAAATATATAGCGCCGTTCGTGACAAATCGACGAGGTTCGGTTCGAGATTGTAACGACTCCAAGAAACTACTCCCTATAAAAATCGATGTGGGAAGATTCTCTGCTTGAAATTTTTCATTATTTTATACGATTGTATGATAAATGTTTATAAGTTTTTATATTAAATTTTGAAACGTCAAGGAACTACCGCGAATTTTAGGAGAAATATATTGTTGACATTTAAAGAGTACGTTTAAAAATACAAGACATAAATAACTCTCATTGAAGACGACATAAATCAAGAAAAAATGTAAAAGAAATAATCTCTTCAATTTTTGAAAAATTTGCAGTATATATGAGAAAATTTGTTCGATTACAATATTTTTTTTATTTAAAGGTTGAAAGCATATTTAAAGGAACTCTGATGTTGCTTACATTGTTTTACAAATTGTTGAAACAAATTATTTTAAAAACGTATGACGGTGTTTTTATTGCCTATATACGGAATAAAATTTGTCTTATAAACCAACAATCAGTCGCCATACAACTTTATATTAAACAGTGTTTAAAGATTAAACACGCTAGATAAATGACGAAGTATAGAGCAATTTCTTCCACAAATATGAAGCGAAACTCTGGGAAAAATTTTTGAATATGAACTTTTATTGTCTAGAAAATTGATTTTGAAAATTCAATGGGTAATTGACAAGGACCAGTACACAGCTGTTACACACTGGCACTGATGAAACTGTACACACAAGTGAAATTGTCGAAAATATTCCATAAAAATCGTTTTTTGGCGACGAACATTTATAATAATAGTTTACGAAATGAAATCATCATTTGAAGCCGGAGGTTAGAATGCTTATGTCGAATAATTTGAAAAGAAATGTTCACTTTTTGTAAGAAACGTAAGAAAGAAAACAATTAAAATTAAAGACTCAAGATTTTATCATTACAATACAAATATTTTGCAAATATTGTTTTGCAAATTTATTTAATAAAACCCATATGTAGCAATTATTATTATTCGAATTTTGAGTAAGTGTACTGTACTCGAGATATTCATTAAAACAGTTATTTTATGCTCCTCAAAAAATATTAAAAAGATCTTTTGATTACAGTGGCTCCATCTGTAATTTCACAGAAATTTGATTTACATTGTGTTACTCTTTATACTAAGCCAAGAAATTTTCATAAATAATATTTTTTTCTATTTCTATCCATGCTCGAATTATTTGACTTAATAGTTTCCTAGCTGTCAACATTTAAGATTCATCACCTAAACACGATTGTTCGTCATTAATAAAAATAAATGTAAAACTTTTTTGTCGTCTTTACCTGTATGTTAAGTTTAATCAAGATCAGTGTTGTAATTAATACCTTAATACTTCTTATAAGTGGGATTTGGTTTAGATGTCTGACCATTCTTTGTTATTTCTACTTAATTAACGTTTGAAAAGATTAATGCTATCATGTAAGAAAAATTTGGCAGGGAAACAAAGACGAGTAAAATTGTGTGAATAATATGTCAATATCACTATCAAAAAATTCCAATATAGTTGTGAATTTATAGTCGACACGGTCAGAGCATAGATATTCAATTACAATTTATTGGCTCCATATTTTTCATAGAAATATATACAAAGCAAGATGAAAACATGTATTAGACATCTGAAGAAGACCTACAAAATGTCAATAAGTTTCAAAAACAAAATATAAAAAAAAGAAAACTTCAGTGATAAATATCTAATAAAAATACTCGATATTGGTCAGACACATATCAGACCAATTTTCAAAGTCGTTTTCTTCGAAAATAGGATCCCGTATCAAAAACTTTCACTTCATATTTTCGATTCATTTCTACACAAGGGTTTACACTACACCCGATGACTTTTATAAAAAACTATAATTAACAATTCTATTAATTTTAATTACTGAAAATAGGAGATTTCTCTACGACGAGAAACTGAATATAATAAGCCATCTATACAATTCGAAGCTAACTACTCGCAAAATTATAGATTCCTTATTTTGTTATTCAAATAACAAAAATAAAACGAAACTAGTCCAAATCGAAGCCGTTACATCTTCGGCCAGATTCCTTCGTCGGTTTTTATCATGTTTCCACGCGTCGTGGCTATCGATATTACCTTCCGTCCCATACGTCCCTTTTATCATCGCCTTAAAAGGTGACAAACAACGCGATCGAGGACCAACGACCGCGAATCGCGTTCCGCGTGGATCGTCCAAGCCCATTCCGGGATTCCCATATCGCGAACGCGCGCGCTCTACCAGATAGACGTCTTTCAGCGTCGATGTTTCAATGCTCCGATGGGACAATCGCGACGCTCCCATCGGCCCGACGACAGAAATATTCCCGAAAACGAATGCCATCGTCCACGAGGCGAGCCGAGCGACGAGATTAGCCTACCTCGCGGCCGATATCGCGACTATATCTGGCCTAAGAGGAGAAAACGATCTTTAACCCAAGATGGCGACGGCAGTTAATCCCTGAACGGGATGGTCCGCGTATTTCGCGGCACTATCTCTATAGGGGTCATCTTTATTGGCCGAAGGGGTTGGCGATAAGGTAAAATACCGGACGTCGCCGATGTCCGTTACGATAGTCGACCATACAAGAGAAACGAAGGCGTAGGTGAAATGGGAGACAGACAGAGAGAGAGAAGAGAGTATCTGGCTAGTGATATCAAGGCTACCAACAGATCCGGACTCTTCTTCGATATACGTCGGTGCCCCGAGACCGATCTATCGAGCACCGACGAGTATCGATCACGACGCGAACCGAGCGTTGGGAGCAGTGAAAGGTAAACAGAGAGACGAGGGAGTTGACGGTTTATGGTCCAATAAGTGATTGCGTCGCCCGCTGCTTTCGGTTGGTCGTAACGATAGGTGTTAACGTTGGAAGGTCGGAGTTCGTTCTACGAAACCCGTGGCGATTCTTTCGTGGCTCGTAAACTGCGAAACTTCGCACCCGCCACTCGTAATTTTAACTCTACGATGACTTCGGTTACTCGAAGGCTTCGATTTTATTAAATTTAAATTAAATGTTATTCGGACAATTCTCTATCACATTATATTATTTTCTCAATTTATAACGAAGAAGATCGTTCCAAACTAAACGAAATAAAATTTAATAATTCAACTAAAGAAAATGGCGATTAAAGAAGTCCAGAAATTCGACAGGAGGATCAATACACAAAAACAAACTCTGTTGTATTTACTATTAGTTAACGAGCCAACGGGCTGCGATAAACCAGCGAATCGATCGTAGGCAAATTAACCGGAGGATTGTTTATGAAGCGGAGCGACCCGATGCAAATTCACAATAACGCGGCGAGGCGTCGTTTCGCCACAGTCGATTCTCGCAGCATCATCGAGCGTAACGATCGATGCTTACAGCAATCTACCTCTGTCTCTTTGCTCTTATTGGGCCGTAGAAGAGTTTCATTACGATACGAAACACGTCAGAAAAGTTGGACGCGCGCGGTCCGCCGTGTATCTCGCGTTACCGATCCCCTACGATCGATTTCTCGATTGCAAAGATCACGTCTTCGCGAACTCTTCCACCGTCTCTCTATCTCTTCTCTCTCTCCGTCCTTTCTCCTACCTGGTTTTTCCCCTCCTTCGCTTTATGCCTCGTCTGTCTCGAGAGTGCATAGCCGATGCAAGCCGCCGGAAGATCTTTATCGAGACACGGGCTTGCAGTTACGTAGCGAACGTGAATCATAAGCGCCGACTTCGGGAACTTCTAATCGATTCTCGCGGTCTACGTTCGACTTCCTTTTTGCACGACACCGCAGCTACAACCGTGAAAAAGCGAATGCTCGCCGGCCTTTTCGCGCAAGGCAAAAAGTCGCTCGCCAAAGTAACGAATTATTCCATCGGAATTCACGGATAAGAAAATGTACCGTTTCTACATAGATGGCCAAATTATTAACTACGTACGATGTATATTTCAAGATTCATGAAACGGGCATTCTCGATGAGATTTAAATTATCTTGGCGAAGCAACAAGTTTTTACAGAGGGTCGAGGACTTGAACTCTATCGAGATTACTAGAAAATCGACTCCAACTAATCTTATAGTAGCAATGATTAAGGTTTCGTATTATAAGAGGAATTTAAACTTCTTTCTCACGTCAATTTTGTTATACAGGATGTTCGGCCACCTCTGGGGAAAATTTTAATAGGAGATTCTAGAGGCTAAAAATAAGACGAAAATGAAGAATACCAATTTATTGATTGAGGCTTCGTTAGAAAATTACTGACGTTTAAAGTTCCACCTGTAGAAAATCGGCAATCGGCGAAAAGCTGCGTGCGCGCGATAGTCGTTCTTACCACAAATCAGGTTACGAGTAGACCTTACATTCAATGTATTTTTTCGGCCCACTTTTCTGGGGGCTCTAGAGCTCCATTAATACACATTGTTTGAATTTTGAATCATTAAAATCCTTCAATCCGTCCAGAAGTTATGATTTTTTAAACATACGCATGAAATTTCGAGGAAACATTTTTCGCCACATAGTATATTTTCGGTAAGAAATTTTTTTCTCGAAAGTACGTAGGAATTCGGGGGTATGTGTATTCACCAAAAATGATTGTAATTGATCCCTGCAACTAAAATTAATTTTTCCAGAATGATTTAAAATTTTTTAATGTAATTTTTTAATAACTTTTTAACGAAGTCTCAATTAAGAAATTGATATTCTTGATGTTTGTCTTATTTTGGCCTCTAGAATCTCATTAAAATTTTTTCCAGAGGTGGCCGAACACTCTGTACAAGTTTTCGGAAACCAAAAGGAAAAACAAATGATTTTTTCGAGAAGTCGACGCCTATGGGAATCCGTTAACGTAACAAAGGACACCAAGTGGTACATATACTGCAAAATGAAAGGTGGGTATAAAAGAGGAGGAGTTTTCTACTTACCGGACACGCATCGGTAGTGCGCCTCGAGGTACTTGTGCGTGTTGGGACAAGGATCGCCGAATTGCGACATGGACGCAACGATGCTGCAGTTTTGCTGGTTGTTGCACCTGGATATATGGGGGTTTCGAGACTCGGTTAGCGAAAATGGCACCCTTACCAAGTGCGTCGAGCCATGGATCCTGTCCCTTTTCCCTTACCGACATGGGTATGCAAGAGGGTCGCGTAAATAGAGAGACTTTTTCGACGACATTCGCACCTTTCGTTGTTCGCTTTTGTTCGATGGTCGAAACTCTTTCTAAGACGCTTCATGGTTTCATCCGTTTCACAAAAATTCCATGATCTATTTAATTGTACAGTATTACCACGTTATAAGGAGCCTCCGCTGGTCCGTATATATAACAATACCGTACGTTCACGATCACCAAACGTCGTGGAAAGAGCTTAGACTCGGAAAATCGCGTGTTCGCGAGGTCTCAACGACCAAAACAAAATGTGTTCACCAACCTAGGCAATAGTACTGCGCCTCGATGTACTTTCCGGTTCCGGGACACGGGTCCTCCTCGAAAATCTCGCTGCGCACGTCCACCGTACAGGAATTACGATAATTGCACCTGCAATCGTCACGTGAGCAAGAGAATGTCGCCCCAGAGGACAATGATAACAGAGTTCGACGTCCATGAACGGAATCACGAACCGAGAATCAAACGGCAATGGCGCCGATGAGAGATAAGGAACGACCTTGAAACGTTTTAGTTCCCAATTTCGAGCTTCCCCCGACAATACCTTCGAAGAGCAAGCATTCTACCGTTGTTATAAATCACCATTACCCCGCTACCGTTTTCGAAGAGTAGAAATCCTGGACCATTTTCGTACACCGAAACAGACGCCTCATCCACGGTCACGCGGAATCTTCAAGCGAATTGAATTCAAAGACTTCACACCGTAAGCGAGTCGACGACACGGCTTTACAATAGCTTTAGCGAAAGTGTTAGTGACAAGAGACGTCTGATGTCGTTTTCGCGATGTACGCGACGTGTTAGCGAGCTATACAACATCAGGACAATGAGTTAGTAGAAACAAGAGTATGCAGTAGTTTTAGAAGCGCAATAGGTGTTCGAGTTGGTACAGACGAACTCGTGCGACGTCGTGTATCGTGTGTTGGATTTCGATTGTCCCGTGTTAACAGTTCCACGGTGTGTATGTACAGAGGATCATGCATAGAACTTGTACCCCGGATTCAAGCACGTTAAAGGTCCATCCGTCGTTCTGGGACAACGTTTTTTTATCCCGTTGCCATCCGTGTTAACGCGTTGACTGTCTGTATCTAGAGTCGCAAGTACCATTTGAGCATTCAAAAGTTTTTCTAATGAAATTTTTACAAGGATTTCACTCTATTATAGCACCGTGCACAGTTGCTCTCCTAACATATTGATTTTAATTTTGTAAATCTTTTAAATCATTAATAAATAACTTAATTTAGTTAAATATTTCGAACTTGGGTTATACTATATTTATTTATAATAAAACTATAATGGTTAGTTTAACCAAGGATGATCCAGACTTAAGATTGAAACGTTTAATAAGAATAGAATTTAGACTATGATACTGCAGCTATTTTCATCGAGCTGTTTAATAGTTTAACTTTGAAGTTAGTGATTTTAATGAAATTGAAACGTGTAGCAGTCCAGGAGAAATTAGGAAAGATTTAAGTCATATTTTTGCTGATTTTGAATTTATTTAGAAAATATGAGTCGACTATTGCAATGGATTACACAAATGAATTTTTATATCGAAAACTATCGGCTACATTGATTTTTTGTTTACAATGTCTTCATCGAGAAGATCCGGCCTTTTGAAATATATTTTCTTTCAAGTCAAATAGTCGTTTCAAAACATAAAACAAATCTTAACACCATTTTCGTGAAGATAGACAAAAGTTGTAAGCTTTGACATTTTGTATTTCTTAAACAATTTTTAAATCAGTAAAACGATTACTTAAACTAGCTTTAAATTAATACGGATTAAAAAATATTTCAATTTTATAAAAATCCCTAGAGCGAAAGGATCCCATCTGATAAGATAAACATTTGTTGACACTAATCTTTCGAATTACTGATACAGGTGATATTTATTTTGCATTCAGAGAAGTCCACAGCCAAAATCGTTTTGATCGGTGGATTAACAGACAGTCAACGCGTTAGTACCCAATGTTACGGAAGGATCGTGGTGCCAAACGAAGTTAAGTCATTCTTATAAGCACTTTATTTCGAGTGTGCTTAATGGGCGAGCGCAAAAGTATCGGTGGTATCGCGAAATGGTAAACTTTCGAGAGGAATCCTACGTCACGGTCTCCCTTCTTCACAGTAGTACTTTACTGAGAACCTTCTTCGTTAAGGAGTACCTCGTCGTTGGGATTCGCGAACTCTCAAGGGGCTACGCCACCTTGACGACGCTAAAGCAGAGTATCTTTCCAAATTTTCTATAACAATACTACGAGTCTGTTCGAAACGAATATTGGACTAAGTACGGAAGATAGAACGGACTCTGAAATGAACTGTATAAATAATAATCTTTTCTTTCGTATAAAAGTTTGTAAACGATGAGTAAATATACAAGTAAAATTATTAAACTATATTTTTACAGTTATACCCTTAATGGGGAAACCGTCCCTTATTTTACTTAAGCAGGGCTTAAAAAATCACAAATATTACCTACTTATGGCCTCAAAAAAAAGGATAGCTTCAAAGCCTCGCCTCGAAAATAATCAATTTATATAATATATTAATTTCTAATACGATTTCCATTAACGTTAGTAAGTTCTTTCCGTTTCGATGGTTGAATTAATTGTACGGTAAACGGGCAGGATTTTCTTACAGATCCAATATAATGGCGCAAGAAAGAGTGTTTGCATTTGACGCTCTCGTAGAGCAGCGAGCGTTTCTTAATTCCCGTTTTGTTCGTTTTCGAATCTCCGGTTACTTCAAAGATATTTTCGTTCGTTTCTAATCCGACGTTGCTTTGCTGTTCGCGCGGATCGTTTCGTTTGATTCAAAGCGAACGGTAATCGCCTTATCGGCGAGAAGAGGCTTCCCGCTCTTAAAACAAGATCGTCCCGTGAAAACTGAATCGATATAAATTAAATGCAATTTCGTCCAAGGGCCGCACGACGAGGTCCGCCCCGTCGCTTTAATACCATTACGAAAATATCGTTGACGCGAAGAAGCCGGAAACAGAGTCGACTGGCGGTAACGAACCGATCGATGACGCGGAAGTGCACTCGGCTTAACGAACAAGTACAATCGGGAACGCGCATCGATACTTGCCGATTTAAGCGCGTGTCTGTGTAGTTTCAGCCAAACACGATCGACCTTGTCTAGGTATTATTTATTTCGATATTTGTTCGACGTCGATACGAACAAACAGACGCGACAGTACAAAGCGCGCGCTTATTTTACAAATTCTTCTACTCCGTTGCCTCACATTAAATTGCGTAAAAAATGGACTTGTAATTTCCGCAAACTTAACAGAACCGTGCTGTTTACGTGCTTATTACAGATACGCCAATAATAAATTCTATAAAATTTTTTTCTGTCACTAATTAAATCTCATTCATACTTAAAAATTTTTAGGAATTTATTTAAGTTTCAAAGAAATATATAAACGATAATTTCATTTCAAATAATAAGTAATTACTTCCCTGTTTGGCACGAACGTTTCAAATATTTGAAATAATAAAAATCGAACGATAAATTTTATATAATTCATATTCTGCGAATGATAAATTACGAATCATAGTTTCCCCGTTGGAGTGAGGTTAATTTCTCGTGAATTAAAACGGGGGTCGTTAGAAAAATTCAGCAGCGATTAACCCGGCAAGGTTCGTACAAATGCCAATCGACACGACAGACTAAAATATCCCGACGAACTGGTTTGCTTTAACCCCCTTCGCACCGTTTCCTTTCTGAATAATATACGAACGCGGGGGCTCCCTTAGAATCGGCAAGGTGTGCACGGTTTAATCTCGATCGAGCCATTAAAGCGAGTACACGGCCCATTGTTGGCCAGGCCTGAGCGAAGTGCAGGTGCAAAGCCCACACACGGCCTGTTATCGCTCCGCGTGGCAGCCACTATTTTGGAGGATTAAGCGGCCTCGTCGATCGTTGGTTTTGCGCGTGGAAATTTCGCGGCTCGAATCCCTGGCTGCCCCGCGTCCTTCCCTTGGAATCGTTTTTATTTTCTTTTTTTTTTGTCTTCCCTTCCTATTTGGGTACACGGTTTTATCCAGAACGCGCGAGCGCGTGCCCGAGCGAGATACAACGGGACGACGCGGGGGAGGTAAAAAAAAAGAATAAAACGGAAAGAAGAGAAACGTTCCTGCGAGTCGAAGGGATTAATTCGCGTGCACGGATCGATCCGTGGACGAACGAGCGAACGAAAGGGCGGAATTCCCGTTGACTTTGCCGAGGGGTCGTCGCGTCAATTCGTCGTGATTCGAGTGGCGTGTATCGACAACCCGTGAGAAGTTCCGGTTACTCCGCGTAATTGGCCCCCAGGTCGTAGATTACTATGTTACGAGGGAAGAAACGGGACCAACGTTCTGTTATCGGCGATTCTCGATCCTTGATGGCGCGCGCCCTCTACTTTTGGGGAGGCAATCCCCGTCGATTCGTCCACCTCGAAACGTACTCGAAGATCCGACCCGTGACTCGAAACGCAACTTAACACCTTGTCATAATAACGAGCTGGCAAATTTTTTTTACGGATGCTGTATGTATTTTTTATTGGGAACTGCATTCTTTCGATTGAATTATATTTGAACTATCAATTGGTAGAATTTTAATAAAAATGGAATTAACTGTTTCGTGGTTCTTTGGTGGGCCCTACCAGGAAACACGAATTACTATAAAAATCAATTTTATGCATAGAAACGCAAATCGAATGTTACGTATTTTCGTGCAAATGAACCTGTTTTGCCCTCCGAGTATGTGTATCCTGATGCGAAAAATTGTAAATAATAAATGTTATAAAAGGATTGGCACAAAAACAATGATACCCAGTGGTAGAAACGCGAAGTAAATTTGAAAATATTGATCCACTTCGTAATTAT